CAAAAAATACTCAATTTCACCTGGCTGGAGAATGGTTAATGTGAATTATTGTCTTCAACGAAGGACGTTAGTATCGAGCTGGGATTCGAACCCTCAATCATTAATTAAATTGAGAGTCAAGTGAATTAGTCATTACACCACGAGACCCCTATGCTATGACAAAATGAACACTAATCAGGAATTTATAATAATCAAATTCTGTATCTCTCCGTACAATTTTCTTCCCTGATGTTGCTGCTTACAGTGATTAGATAAGCATTTGACAAGAGAATTTTTTTTCTTCTGATGTGCGATTTTTCGGCATGTCAATAAAATTAATAGATACAGATAATATTTGTGGCGTGTAATTTGTCTTACAAGACATTTATGTGTTTATTGCATGTGACACGCACTTGGAAACCGCAAAGTCCGTTGACAATCCCAGCTGACTATTGCGTCACAATACTAGCGCTTGTGAATATTACGTCATAATCAAGTTTTATTACGTCATGATGATACTGACCTAGTTCCACTACGCGCGTCGAGTGTCTGCCACGCGCTGTCATGTCACGCCAATGCCTGCATGGTTGAACGAACTTTTAGATATAAGGCCGCATGTTTTCAGATGCGCATGTATTGTTGCGTCACTGACTGCGCTGTGCGCTCACAATACATGTAAACAACTTTGTGCAGAGCGTTTTAGTCATTAATAAGAAGTTTCTGGGCACCAAATTTTAAGAGCATAATTCTTTGTATATTGCGATTGCATTCGCGCTCTCGGTAGAATAAAATACGTAAACGCTACGGCAGTTCTTGCATGATTGGGTTGTGTCCTAGCTGGTCTGGAGGCTTACCAAAGATGAAGTCTTTCCTTTTGCCTAAATGAATTTTATGAAAGTATGCATCACATATAACTTACCATCATAAAAATGTGTCCTTTACAATAATTATTGTCTAACATAACTCTTGAAAGATTTTGTATATTAATTTTATGTAAACTTATTCAAATTACTGTTTCAAATCAACTGACCTACCGGACACATAGGCCCAAGTTCACAAAGGAGGTTTAAATTCAAACCATGTAATGGTTTAAATCTGCAATTACATAACCAATGGTCTAAAATCAGACCAAAATAAGCTCGACACGGCCAGAGGTCCAATATTAGACACGTACGTGCAATGCAACTTGGCTAATTTTAAACCATGTGTTATGTTAATACGGGTTTAAACCATGCGTTAAGTTTAAACCTTTTTAAATTCGGCCACAAAGTCTGGTTAACAAGGCATGTACTCGCCAAAATGCTTTGACCTTTCGATGCATAAGATTCTAAGAAATATGGCCATTTAAGTTAAGTGACCATAAGACACACCCCCCCCCCCCCCGTGCATGTGGAGGGAGGGGGGGGGGGTCACTCTCATATACAAGTGCTACCCACCCGTGTCCATCAACCTCTGAAATGGACCCTAATGGCGTATGTAAGAAGACGTCGAAACTTGTGAACCTGAAAAAAGTACCATTTTTCGGTTGGTTTTTAATTCTCAATCAGTGCTTAAAAAACACCCCTTTTTGAAGAAATTGTCGACGACGCCGTATACTTTATGTGAAAAAGACACCATTTCGACGCTTTTTCTGGATGCGAGTGCGTAGACAGTCATGTTATGGGGGGGGGGGACACCCCCCTCCCCTCGACATGAGACGAACAAGCTTATATATCGCATTATTTTGTCAAACGGGAACAAATGATTTTCCCAAAAGGAACTCTCCACATCAACCTGTTTTCTTCTGTCTTTGTTTTCCTTCCTATTTTATTGTTCTTCTTGTTATTCTCTTTTTCCGGCTTCTTTTTCTTCCGCTTCTTCTTCTTCTTTTTCTTCCGCTTCTTCTTCTTCTCCTTAATTGGCTTTTTTTAGTTTATGTTCTCTTTTGTAATGATATTTCCGTTGCTACCACCAATGCTTCTAGCATTGTTGTATATATCATCGGACCGCCACATGATGACGACCATTGTTATAATTGCTAGTAGTAGTAGTAATATTGTAATCATTTCTTTTAATAACTATTAGGATTTACTGTTTTTATTATTTTTTAAAATATCATTATCATTAATATTATTGTATTAGTATAGATCTAGTTGTTGTTGTCATCATCATTAATTTTATCGCAGAAACAGTTAAATATTATATGCACAATAAGTCGACCCCTCCAATCGTGTTTTCATGTACAAACTTGTAGCTTGTTGTAATAAGCTCTACTAATGCTACGGTCACAAATGTTCGTACGAATCTCCCTGTTCCTACGAATTTCAGAGTTCGTAGAGATTCGCAGATGGGGCATATATTCTTACGTGCTTCTTACGGAGTTCGTACGAACGCCGTGTTATTCGCAAGAACAACTCAAGACCTTCTTGAGAAACGAAGTGATTTTCGGTTATACAATGGCCCCAGAGTTCGTACGTTTTCGTAAGAACGCCTTGTGTTCTTCTTACGTCAGACGTACGCCAATCTTACGAGTTTTTGTTCTCGTAAGGTGGTCGTACGTTTAACTCACGGCATTCACAAGTCATTCGTAAGAAGAGCTTAAGAATTTTTTCCTATTTGGTCGGGTTGCAAAAAAGCGCTGCCGTATACTGTCGAAAATTCTATGACTGTTGAAAGTTTGATATTACACGATGACAGTATTGCCAAGAAGACTACAACTGCAACTGCAACTCCATAAAGTGTTTCTTGAACTTGCTGTTAGCATATCTGTTACTTCCTTTATTATAAAAGCAGTCATGTTAACCGAAGAAGTCAATAAGTTTTTGCTCTGTGGTGGCATCAAAGTCATAGGACTACTTCTCCTTTATCAGTTTCCCCGTTACCTCATCTTCATCGCCGTCAAACTGCCGTCTTGATGGTTCTCCCTCCTCCTCGTCGTCGTCATCTTCCACCGCCTCCTCCCGGTCGCTTCCGATATGGCCATCATTTCTTGATATCAGGCGCGCCGAAAGCAGTTTGGGATTGGGGTGGCAAAAAATCCAGGGGGCTCACCTTCCAGGGGCAGTGGCGTAGTGAGCAAAATCGTTTGGAGGAGGGGGGGGGGGCAGAAGGAAAATTTGCATCACCACCACTCCTAGGCTTACATGTTACATGCAGGCCCCACGGAGCATTTTTCAAAGTGGAGTATTAACGATCAGGTTAGAGTGTAGCAAGCGTAGCGTAAATTGGCGTGGGGTCCGGGGGCTTTGCACCGGCGGGGGTCAAGGGACTAAGCCCCCGGAAGGTCATGGTTTTTAGGCATTAAATTGCGGTCAGATAAGCATATTTAGATACCTTATTTGTGTCACTGGCAGGTCACTAATTGTCGGGGATTCCACGGAGCAGAGCCCACGAAAGCTCAGGGGTTATGGTATTCAATTACGGTCAGATGAGCATCCAGGGGCCCACCTTAGGGCCCTTGGTGGGGTCCAGGGGGCAGAACCCCTAGAAGCTCAAAGCTTTTCGGCATCCAATTACGGTCAGATGAGCATATTTTTATATCTCATTTGTGACATTGGTAAGTCACACATTTTGTTCTCACTCTTTCTTTCCTTTCCTCTTTTTTTAAAAAGTGAGGGGGGCTCGACCCCCGAGCCCCGCCGTTCTGGCCCTAACATGAAGGCTTCTAAATAAGCATATTTTTATGCCCAGCTGTTAATTTGGGAATTAGTAATTTTCAAACAAACGAATAAAAAGATAGGATTTACCAAAAAATTGAGAAAAAATACCGGAAAATCATGTCATTTCAGCAACGTTTGTTAATCACTGGTATCGAATTAGAAATACCCCCGACCATTAGTACGCCAGTGTTCAGGGGCTCATGTCTTCTCACCACTATAATATTTAAAAAAAACACTTTCCCATCCTCTTACAATATTTCCACGATATGCGCAAATCGCATATATTATAAAAACATCCATTGATAAAATGTAGGAGCAAGCGGAATGTATACTAGTACGAAATTTAATCCCTATTAACTTTCCTTTTCTTTGAATGGAATATAATTTAATTTAATTAAATTAAATTAAGTTTGGTTAAAAAATACAAACCATCTATACTCCTTTACTGTTTTTTTTTATAGGGGTGGGAGGGGGGCGAATGCCCCCTGCTCCTCCCCCCCCCCCCCACTTCCGGCGCCTCTGCTTGATATTGCTGTTGCCACTCTCCTCCTCTTTCTCCTTCCTCCTCATCTCTTTCCTCTAACAGATTTCCCCTTTGGTCCCATATTTCTTCGACAGGAGATACACCCTCGACGAACACTATGAACAGAGTGAGGCTTTATAACCGTTAAAACTCAAAAATTGCATAAATTGTGTACGTACACCTTACGAGCACCTTACGAACTTCTTACGAACGCCAGGAGTCATTCGTACGAATACCACAAGAATCTCCGATCGTAAGGCGTTCTTACGAACGCCGTAAGAGCCCTCTATGAACAACTTGAGGCGTTCTTACGGTCATCGTAATAATTTGAAGCTTCTAAAATTGTCCCTCGACCCTACGAAATGTACAAAGATCTTGCGTGGTTCTTACGATGTAATTACGGCGTTCGTACTGCCGCCTTACGAAGAGAGGGTTTCGTACGATGTTAAAAAAAATCTTGGACAAGACCATCGACCAATCTGCGTTCTTACGAACGGTCTACGAACGGTCTACGAGCGCTTGTTTCGTACGGCCGCCTTAAGAAGATCTTAAGAAATGGTCTGAAAATCGTTCGTACGGCGTTCGTAGCAGCCCGTAAGGGTATTTGTGACCAAGGCATTAGTCAAACAAAAGTATAGTTTATTGGGCAAAAGACAGCTTGATTTAGTTTGTATACTCGGCCTATTGTTGAGAACAAGAGTGCGTGCGATACAGCTCACATCCATCGGCTTGTCAGCTCTTCAATACGGTTACTATGGACAACATAGATGTTGACACGCACGCTTTGTAAACAGGTCGTCCCATCATGCATTGCTGACGTACTCTCGCGATCAATTCATGCACGCAACAAAACTGCCGCAAGAACACAAGAAACCACGACAAACCGCAAACAAAACTAAAATATTTTCGACCTGCAATGAGTGAGAAAGACAAACACATTTGAAAAAATCTTCATCAAGAATATGAAACAGCAAGATGCAGTTAAGATGTTCACCAGAACTGGTGATGTTTGATGTTTGCAGAGGTGTTCCGAAGAAGCTCGAGAAGTGAGAGTGAGTTTGCACATGTTACAGGACCCTGCTCTACAGGCGGGCGTAGTTCATCGATCGCCGCTGAAGTTAATTGCTGCTGAATGTGAAGAGATCCGATCCGAGGCACTAACCTAGAGTCTACAACTTTTTAATTTTTTCTGTCGGCCAAATTAGTGGTCGTTCAGACTTTAATTTTCACCATGGCATCTGGGACAACTCTTCAATCAACGCCAGCCAAAAGCATATATGTGTATCGGAATGGAGATACGAACTTTCAGTGCAAAAAGGTTGTTGTCAACCCACGTCAAGTTAAAAACTGGGACTCATTTATTGAGCTCGTCACAGCAAGAGTGAAGGCGAGAAATGGTGGGGCAGTGAGACGAGTGTTTACACCAACTGGCAGGAATACAATTTCGGACTTAGGAGGCATTGAAAATAACCATTTCTATGTTGCAGCTGGTGCTGAAGGGTTCAAGAGACACCAGTAAGTATTCAGCCTCTACTCTAGTCCTAGAGTCAAGTACTAAGTAGTCTAGTGATAAAGTTAGTCATGCTAGTAGAAGATCAGGCCATACTGAAGTCGGAACGCAAGTTTGACAAAGTCAAAATTGATGTCAGTTGATTTTTCGGCGCTTGTTCAGAAACCTATCCAAAATTTGACCTGTAACAAGTGTAAGTAACGCCGGCGTGGAGATACCCTAGACCCTCTAAAACATACCCAAAACCCTAGCCTAGATCTAGGTCTAAATGTCCAAATAAAGATCATGAGTTAAAACTTAAAATTTGTTATGTTTATTACCTGTTTTGTGTCAATTTTATTTTTATTTTTGGAGTATTTTTCAGGAAAACGTTGATATAGTAGATCTATACACTTTTTCACAGGTTTCACTGCAAACCCCTACACAAGACAAGTGCATACAGATGGTGGGTTGCGGACGGGTGCGCGCCTGTGTGAAGTTATCTACCGTAATGTCTCAGATCCTCTTTTAGAGAAAACTTAACCCCGATTTTTCCAACACCAAAATTTATACTCGTACATCCAAGTGCAGGGTTTACATGTACATTTAGGAGTCCAGACAACTTGCCACAAAGACAGCTTGACACAATACCCTGGACAAATCGCCACGGTCGAGTTGTCCAGGGTGGGGTGCCTTTTTGAACAGCTCGTCACACTTTTCCCCCTCATGATTTCTATCCCTCACTGTGTTTATAAAAGAATAATGAATACATAAAATGACAATTTCATCTAAGATGAGGGATTTTAGATCTAGAAATCATGAGGGGAAAAAAGTGTGGCGAGCTGTCCGAAAAGGCACCCCACCCTGGACAACTCGCCGTAGCGAGTTGTCCAGGGTATTGTGGCGAGATGTCCAGGGTATTGTGTCGAGTTGTCCAGGGCGAGTTGTCTGAAATTCATACTACTGATGTAGTCTAGATACTTTTTACAAATTCAAATTTGGCGGAAATGGACAAAGTTTAAAACTTTAAATATGTTAGGGCTATGGTTTTTTCTTGTTTAAAATATTGTTTTCGGAGTAGTTCCTTCTTTTTTAAAACATTTTGCTAGGCGGTAGTTACCGCTCAGTGTTTCCACTCCAGTCCTTTATACTGGCCAACCCTGGTAGGCCTATATATTTCTTTTTAGTACAGTAGTTAAAATTTTGGTCAGATGCATGTGGTTTGAGCTGTAAAACTAAAGGGCCCTGTACTATAAAGATATACTGGTCCATTATGTACAATGTACATGTAGGTTTATATTATTTTGTAGATTTCTAGTTCAGAAAAAAGGTCGAGCAAATAAAAATTGATTAGATTTCCATGCTTTTGTCAGATGTGTTACATTTATTGACACATGTACATGTACGTGTAGTTACATTGAATACGTTGCATATATGAAAAAAGTTTGATTAATGTTTATGAAGAACGATAAGAAACTGAATTACATCCCATGGAAAATCCTACAATTTTCTCTTAAAGATCATCTTTCAAAATGATTTTTTGCTAGGATATTCGAGGAGCAAGGCTCAGCAAGCCTTTGTTGGCCCTTTTGCTTCCCATTTTTAAATTGAATTCCTTTTCACTAATTAATAATACTTTTACTTCAATACAGTGAATTGGAGAAAAAAATTGTGTGTACTTAAATTTGATGTGAGAAAACTTTACAAAATTCCAAGTCTTGTTCCTGTACATGTACAGTTAACAACTAAATCATCCATACCCTTGGTAAAATTGATGTTTTTTATGTTTTTTGTAACTCGAGAATGACAGGTGCACTGGTTTAATTAAGGCCTTTGTTTAAATACCTTTAGATGTAACATTGATCTCAAGAACGTAAATCTGGACAAATCAAATTTTCATATCCTTGAAAAAATATGAAATGAAACTTGGTAAGGGTATGAATAATTTAGTTGTTATTTTAATGTTAACTGTCTGTACATGTACAGTACATGTCATGTATGTAGGAATTTCATCTTCAACATCTAAAACAAAATTTTGGCTGGTTGATATACTTTCATACATTTATTTGTATACAATATCTTCATACTGTAAGTACAATACATGTGTTGTCAATTGGGACAAACTTCATGTACAATACCCCTTTGGTCATTTATAATGTGCAATCGATCTAGAACACAATTATGAGGCACACTACAGTATATATTAGAATTAAATCTTGAAAATATAATTGTCTTACAAAATCTCTTATTAATCATGGAATTCTGAAGATTTTATTTGTGTAATTGTAAATTATGGCAATGTCTAATTCAGTATAATTTTTTATTCCTCTCTCTTTTTCTATCAGGTACAATAAAATCACAACTTTAACTCCACAAAAGACCAGATTATCGGTAAGTTTGCTCAATTGTAACAATTATTATGACTCATGTCAAGTGCTGCTGTGAGAAAGTACACATCAGAAAGAAAAGCATGCATCTTTCATGCAATCACAAACTTTTCATTTTTATTTTCTGCATCACATTTGCAGTTTTTATTTGGAACACACATATTACTCTTAGTTCCTACTTGTTTTGAACAGAAAGAACAGACTTTTTTCATCACCGTTCCATCCTCAGTTTAAAGGAAATCGTACCCCAAAGAATAAGTGAAAGTATGCTGAAAGATGAATTTGATTCCTTCCTATTAATCTACCTACAATATTCCATACAAAAATGTATGCGAGATATACAAGTACATGCATGAATGAAGAAATTCTTTACATGATGTAATGTCTTTCGGCGTGACATGGATGCAGTCATTTTCTTGATAATGTGACATACACTGTACATGTAGTTTACCAGCCAAACTTGTACATGTCATGGATCATGCTTTCAAGCTCTAATTGGGGAGACACTTTAATTCAGGAACATTTAACCTATGCTATTCAATGAGGGAAATCATAGCTTATCTAAGATTTGGTGAAAATGTTTAAGAGGGGGAAATTATAACTCCTTTATTTACAAAATTACAAAATTAAAGCAGTTGACCAATCTAATTCATATACATGTCACCCCAAAAGTGCATCAACAATGCAATTTTTCAATCTGACAACTATTATTACAAAATATAGTGAATGAAATATTTCAGCACCACACACACTTGGGAAGAAAGTAATAAAGTATCCATAAATTTGGATATGTTTACTTGATAAAGGACTCCACTCAGTACGTCACATTATAAAGAAAATGGACATGCCCATGTAGTGCTGAGAAACTTGTGATTACCGGTATGCTTTATTAAGAATAACTTGCTTTACATCTCTCATACACGTTGGTGGGGAATCTTTTATGATTGATAGGCAAGAACAGGTACATCTCTCACAATAACTTCACTTATTTCTTGGTGCAAGGTTTCCTTTCAAGTTTGACTCGTAATGTGAAAAAAATCCTAGTCTAATTAATTGTCTGTTTGGAGCCCGAAGCGTATTTTGTAACTTTAACACAAAGTTAAGGTTTTTCTGGCTCTGAACATTTTTTTTTTTATTTGACATTTGTTTTTGCATGGATTTGAATATTTATGTTTGGTGAATGAAATCGTATTCAATTTCAAAATTTGGGTAGCACAAGAATAGACAAAATTAAAATATGGCTCCCAATTTATGGGAAATTATGATTAATTATAAAACCAAGATTTTGATTTAATTCATCGTTTGCAGAGTGACCCACTAGATCCAGCTGTAAAGGTATGTTTGAAGTTGTCTCAGTGTGTGGTGGTGTATGGAACATTAATTAACTGCAAAAAATGAAAAAAGGGCATAAAAAGGTTGCTTAAATATACGTGTTAACCCCTGTGCAATGCATGTTGTCCATTTCTGTTGCTATGTGTATGTAAAGTATATGTGTCACCATCAACTAATTCATATTCATATACATGTACAGTGTAGAGTAAATAAAAAGTAACAATGCATCAGATTCTTCACTTGACTTATCAAATATAAATTCACCTTTGTACACACGCGTGTGCCAATTCTCTTCATATCTCTAATGCAAATAGTAATAGCACTCATCCGACGTAAACCATGTTGCCAAGCGACGTGTAAACAGTATGATTTCTATAAAACTTCCTTTTTCTTTCATGAGAGATATATCCTTGATCTACGAGTTTATTCACTGTATTTGTGGGGGGTCTCCAGTAGCCTAGAGTCTCCGGTCATACAAATATGACACTGACACAGCTGAAATGAATTGGCTTTGAGAAGATAAGCTTTGTGTGTGTATTATATATTGCATACTGACTATTTGCAAGAAATTGTAAAGATTTATACAAATCTGTAAAAATAATGGAATACAGGTGTACATGTACCTCAATAGTTTAACAACTTTACGATTGAGATTTATGGAAGGTTGCAGGGCACTTGATTTTGGTGGAATGGGTTTTTATTTATTTAGTTTATTATTTTATATCATGAAACAGATCTTCATATCATAGTTCACTCTTAATATCATTCATACAACATTAACATTTTGTTGCAAATTGAGTAACTGACCCTTTTAAAAAAAAAAAGAATTGTAGACTGTGTTTACATTTAGCATGGCCAGAAATATACATACTAGTTTATTCTTTTCTCCAAAATGAATATACATGTACATACTTGTATATTCTTATCTCCAAAATGTTGTTTCAAATTGTATTTCTAGAGAGCTTTTATCAATCTGATCAATGCCTGACAGGCCTTTAAAGCAAAATTGCATGTTCTTTGATCTCTCCATTTTAAACACTTTGAATATTTTGTCATGGTATAGATCATTAGCAAACAAGTCCTTGTGTTCCAACCTCAAAAAACATAACATGTACAGTTGTACGTCATCTGTGTTTTTGCATAACAATGCCCCCCCCCCCCACCCCCAGGAAACATTTACATTGTAGAAGAGATTGCTTTCACTGATATGTTTTCCATGTCATTCCCTTTCATTCCCCTTCAATAGACATGTTGAAATGGTCACCAAGACTACTAATGCATATACAGTATACACCGTCTTTACCCTTAGTTACTCATGTGTATACCCATTAGTTTAGTATACTGTACATTTTCAAGATGCATGATGCCAGGATACATTATCGATAAGCTTGTAGAGCCGATGCACTTTTAAGTGTACCCGAGATTGTTTGGATTGAGATTAAAACAAAAATCACTTTAATTAATTAGCACTATAATGACAAAAAGGTGACTTCCACGAACCAGTATTTGATTTTTAACTAATTGAATTGGTTGCACTATGATTGTGTAAAGTGTACTAATTAATGTACATACAGAAGGAGGCATATTTAGTAATGTACATGTGTAAATTTGTTAGTGGTGGTCCATTTCACATTCACATTTAGTGTAAATGTTAGGTTCACATAAATCTTATTTACTTGCTTTTGGGGTTTTCTAATAGAAAAATGGAGGCATTACTGAATGAAATTATTAAACGAGGCATATCTAGACAAACATTCAGTCATTTGTACCCGTGCATTGTAGACCTCTACAAATGTATATATTTTTATTAAATATAGAGATAGTCTGTAGATCTGATGCATAGAGAGAGCTCTTGTACAAGCATGTACGTTATAGAAAAGATACAAGTGTGAGTACTTTGATACATGAATGACTGCCTCACACTTTACAATAAGTTTCAGGGATACGTGTACAATGTACATGTACATAGGTCTTTTAAATCTTGTAAAAATCTGTTAAGTTACACATACACATTAACCTCCATATACCTATACACCTGTAGACAAGTTAATGTCCGTATAAAAGCAAAGCAAATGGCGCAATTTTTAAAGTTACCTGTAGAAAGTACCGAAAATGTAGACATATTAAAATAAATATGTAGGAATAACAATGTGATTTTCCATTACATCTTGGCATGCATGCATGTAATTAAAGGTACACAAGTGACTCGAGTATGCCATTAGATCCAGTGGCACCAGCATTATTACCCCCATTACAACCGCCCGCTTTAGTAACTGGTCACTAAGGTGCCATCGATTATTTTGTTTTCTTCCTCCAATCCACTTTCTTTTGAATGAATCCACTTCTCCTTCAATTCTTCTCCCTGCATTGTCTGCTCTTCTCACCAATAGCTATAAGACCCTGATTGCTGCAGCTCCGGTGTGCTTTTGTTGTGTTATTGATCCGAAAGTTACACAGGAGCTAAGAATAACGCTGTGTATCTATAGTAGTGGATGCAAATAACATAAGAGCCCAATTGAGCTCCGCCGTGCTACTTACCTGTACATTTGTGTCACTGAGCTTTTTCAAATATTGAAACTTCTTGAAGTGCACACATGAAGGTGCTAGTATCAATAGAATACCTATTGAATTTGTATCAATCCAATTGTTTTGTGTGTATATTTTGATAATACAGAGCTGTAATCATAAAGAAAATGATCAGGAGGGAAGATTCTGCCAAAACATTTGAGAGGAAAAAGTATTAAAAAACTACAGCAAACTATAATTTTTCTAAACATTCTTTGACAGTTTTTATAGATAGAATTTTTGTTACATGAAATGCATTCAGAACAACCATCAGATTACAAATATCACTCTTTTAGAGGCTGTAAATTCTCACATGAATGTAAGATATTGAGTACTATCCTGGTATAAATCAGACTTTGTTTTAAAAATCCATATTCCAAGTCAATCTACCTCTTTGATTATATTGTCATTGTTGTGTTGTGAGGCAGAAAAATACCCCATAATTTGATATCCGTCATGATTTTACTCAACCTTTATCCAAGGCCATGACCAGTACAGCGATTTCATTGAGTAGTGAATCAATGATTTAATCAATACTCAATCAATATTCCCATAAATGTCGGTAGTTGCAGTGCCTATTACTCCCTTCCGCTTCCAGTTTTACTGAGATGAAATTAAATACATGTACTGTATACACTGTAATGTGTGGTATATAGAGAGTCTGTACTTTCTTTTTTTCATGCACTGTAGGACAAGCATTTGCATTTGAAGGACAAGCACAAGAATATGATAGTTCTAGATTTGACTGATATGAATTTATTAATCTAAATTAAAGGCAAAGTAATCTTTTCAATTCAATTCAATTCAAGGTATTTTATTCACTCATTGTACATGTAGCCTGCAAAGACTAAATTTCAAATGAATTTACAGAATTTAAAATATTAAAAGGCATCATACAAATTAAGAATTATCATACACTAACACTGTACACAATATTCTAGAAATACATATAAATACAAATGAAAGGAACTACATGTACATGTATACAAGTATAACAATAACATCTAAATATTGCTTCCAAAAAAAAATTGGGAATTAAAATGTAAATATTATCCACTTTTCATCAAAATTTAAAGGCTTATAAATATATCTTGGTCAAAAGCCAACAATTTCTTTACATAAATTTTGTGCTAAAATAATTCTAATATGAATAGGCCTATATTGTATTATACAAATTGACTGCTACCAATTTCAGTTCAATTTCATTAAAATAACTGCAATTCACTAATGGACTTTAAGTGATCTATGAACCACATTTTTATCAAGAGATTAAGATAAAACTTGGTTCTAATCCCTCAATGTCAATAGCTGATCTGTTTTCAACTGGAGGGCTAAGTACTGAGCAACCAAACAAGGCCGGTAATTTGCACCAATGCAGATTATTTTTTTTATGTGTACATTAGTTGCCTGTCTGGTCTTTTGACAAATTTGTGAATACTACCTGTATTTGACCAACATGTCTACAAAGATTGATTTAGTTACCATCGTAAATCTAAAATATTTATAAACCATACCCATATTGGTTAGGATTTACACCTTTAATAACAAATGTTGTTTTCTAAGTTTTCTGGTGTATGAAACTGATTGTTCACTTAAGTTTTTGAAATAGGGGATGAACTAAGAACTGATTTTTTTTCTTGACAGCGTTCCAGCTTTAAGATAATAATAAATTATGGTAATAGTGGGTTCTTGTATATACATGTAGCACTCATGTCTGTCAGACTTGACACTCCTGGCGCTCTCGATTGCTTTAGCACGGCTGCCATTATGGCGCTTTAGCATTTCAAGGAATTAATTTCTGCCAGGTACCCATTTACATCACCTGAGTTGAGTGAGGCAATGTAGATTTATCAACCATCCTGTCTTATGGCAGTGAATTAAAGTAAATGATTCAATATTGATGGCAGGTGATTTTTCTTGAATGAAGTTGACTAGGGCAAGGTCTCTTCTTTTGAAATTTCATACTAAGAAGGTCAAGAAATATTCAGCCTTCCCTGGAAAGCAGCATGTGACATCCTGCTGAAAAGCTGCAATATCCCTTATAAAAAAGTACCATGGTAACCATGTTTTTTTTTGGACAAATTACCATCCACCATGGTAACCATTAAACCATGGTTACTATGGTGGATGGTAATTTGGAAACCCAAAAATTATTACCATGGTTCTTTTTTATAAGGCTATAGAAATCAAAATTGAGTCAAAGTTCTTTCCCTTATAGGCTTACATTGTACTTGTTATGTCCTAGTCTTTTAGTTTTACCATGAGTGTAATGATTTGTTTGCAGTTATTAGCATGGGCCATTCATGATAAATTATAAGAGAGAATGGCCCTTTGGCTGTTTCATTGAAAAGAAACTGCTCAAAATCAGGGAAGGAAAATATAACATAGCTTCAACTATCAAACTAAAGCTCTGTCATGTGTACATGATAACTAAAGCAAATCAATCAAGAAAATCTTGTAACGGTTCATTTTCATCGCGATCTGAAATGTACATGTACATGCACAATTTGTACCCCCCCCCCCACCCCTCTTTTACCCAGTTTAGACTTTAGATAGTATGTGTTAGGTTTCCCCAAGTTATATTTATTTATCTATATTTTGTTTGTTTATTTATTTTGATTTACAGTACATGTATTCCCAGTATCAGAGATCAAGAACTTTCAAAACCCCTACAAGTTTAAATATTATTTTATCTTTCATCAAAATACCCCTACAGAAACTTTCCTTTCAAACTTTATGATGCATGCCAACCAATTTTTGTCCTCACAGTAATATGAATGAAGATGAAAAGGATCAAAGTAAGACACTCAAATATAACACGTAGATGTACGTGTCCCTGAGCGTCAATCATGAAGTTGATTTGTAGAAATAATTGGCAATTATTCTGCAAATTAGTGCGCAGATGTGCCGGACACCACCGCATTGTGCCGTGGTGATGATCATTGTTACACTTGCCAATATAATGAGCTTTCGCTAAGCCATGACAATCTCAAGAGACTTTGAGATGTGGGTATAATGCAGTCATTCAGACATTATGTTTTGTGCCATATTTGGTAGGAGGTTTTTATAATTTCGTAGCTCTCATTCTGGCGCTGCAGTTCTGTGCCATATTTGATAGGAGGTTCTTATAATTTCATAGCTCTTATGCTGGCGCTGCAGTAATGGATGCTTGGGTTTATAACACGGGAAAGGGAGAGATTGAGGTGTGTTGATTTATTGATTTATAAAGCAAAGGACATTTTTATCAGTTATATTTATTGTGATATGCAGTTGACCAATATGGCGTTGTGGAGTGTGCAGTTGTCATTTGTTATTATGGGATAATGGAGCTTTGAGAAATTTACAATCTATGCTTTGTGTTGTTTCATTGTTTATTCACATTTGTCATATACAGTTGTACATGTACATGTACAAGTAACTGTGTAATAATCCTCTGTGTTGGGTCAGTTTGGTGTATTGGATGTACTACTGGTGTTATTGTTGATGTCACATGTGATGTACAATACATGTACATACACTGCCTTAGAAAGAAAATTTTAGGGCAAATATCAATGTTTTTATTGTGTGCTTTAAGATTTGTCTTAAAATTCAAGATGGTGTACATCAAATCTGAATGTACAGTAGATTAGGTGCCTTCCTCAGGAATGCAAGAATAGAAAATATATATACAAAACACATTTTCATAGGAATATGTTCACTAATTTTGTTATTGTATATTACCGGTAAGTGAAATATATATTTTGTCTGAAGTTTACATGGACATGTACATCTGGAAACTTCATGCTGTTGAAAAACATACATGTACATGTATAATGTACATGCATATGAACAAATGATTCATTAAAAGCATTTTGAGCTTAATACCCAAACATTTCCAAGGGATTTCAAGCAGGGAATATTGATCTACAGTACCTGTACATTATTACTAGATTCATATCAGATATTCCTCTTATAATCATTTTCCAAATTGTATCCTTTTCTTTGTATTCAGCTTCCACCTATCATCAGACCAGTCAAGCATAGTAGACTCAAAGTTTCAGCAAGATGTAAAAGAGCAGCTATAGCAGTTGGTAGCAAAGTTATCTAGTAAGTACAAATTAAACCACCATCTCTTTTTTGTCTCCCTCTCTCTCTCTCTCTGTCTCTTTCTGCCTCTCTCTTTTCTCTCTCTGTCTCTCTGTCTCTCTCTTTCTCTCTCTCTCTTTCACTCTCTTGTGACTATAGTAGTTGCTAATTACAGTATTTTTATGAATGTTATCATTTTTTTTTCTCTGTCTCTCCCTCTTTCTCTAAATATACATGTACAAAATATGTTGTCCATTGTATGGTCAATATTATAATACTAGTCTCTGGATTACTATTCTTTATCATACTTTTTATATAAATAAAACCTGAATAAATGAAGAAAGGAAATACATGTACATGTTTGTCTATATTCATTCTTCTTCTACATGTACATGTACAATGCTCATTGCTATTGCAGAACTAATCAAAGTATCTGTCTTTTTATTAATTATTTCTAATTTTCTCATTTATTTTCAGCGTCTTTCGGAATGGAGATGCCAACAGTCCAGCTGTCAAAATCCTCTTCACAAAGTTCATGCTCAAGAACTATGATGTCGTCTTAAACGAGGTCACGCGGAAGGTCAACATCATGACAGGGGCTGTTTGGAAGTAAGCATTCCATTTTGTTATGCCTAAAGTGTAAACAAGCAGTCTTAGCTTGCAAACATCAGGCATGACATGACTTCCATTCTAGTTTGTATATTTACATGTACATGTGTAATACTCTATGATGTTATTGATTACATTTTTCATGTTATAGCCAAGTGTTGCTGTGATCTACTGTACATGTATCTCTCCCTGCCCCACCCTTCTACATGTATCTCTCTCTGTCTCTTTCCTGCTTTTCTATTTGTTGTTATATTTTTTGTGATTTACATGTATCTCCTGCTACCCCTTCTCTCTCTCTCTCTCTCTCTCTCTCTCTTTATCTCTCTTTATCTTTCTCTCTTTCTCTCTTTATCTTTCTCTCTTTCTATCTCTTTCTATCTCTCTCACTTTATATGCATCTATCTGTCCCCTTTGTTTCTTTGTTATCCTCTTCATTTCTTGCTAAGATGAGGCAAATACTTACAGGGAGGTGATAGTAAAAGAATGAAGAAAATATCCATTTGTAACAAGAGTAATGACCCAGATATAATACTGAGAGAGTGAGAAAAGGAAAGCATATTGGCTTGATCAGCTGGCGTAGGGCCGGGGAGAGTGTGAATGTGCCATATATCTCAAGCAAAACTGATGACCGCCTCACACTTAGGTCCTCCTGTGTATTCCCCTGCTAGTCACCCCACGTTGGTTCCTCTAACGGAAGCCCTGGTCACCTGCTCTGCAGTGGCATCTCAATAGAAACCTTTAGCGCCATTGAATATATGATCCTTGCATCGGAGCTCCCTTTCTTCAATCCTTCCATCTTTCTTTATTAATTCATGACTGTTGCAGTTGCTACAATGCTAATTATAGCACCAGTGCAGATATATTATTCTCAATATCTCTCTTTCTTTATTTGCCTGTTACGAGGGCAACAGGCACAAACACTTTATGGAAAGATAAGATTAAAAAGAGATTTAGAAAAGGGAGTATGTACATATAGGAGTTATTTCTCAGAAAGCAGCAGCAGGGGCGTACGCAGGGGGGGGGGGGGGTTTGTGGGTTCAAACCCCCCCCCCCTTTGGTATTTTTATGTGTGTAAACCCCCCTAAAAAAACTAAAACCCCCCCCCCCTTTGTTTTTTTTTGTTTTTGTTTTTTTAAATTTAAAAAAAAAAAAAAAAAAAAAAAATTATGCCCACGGCTAACGTAAAGTGACCTTACCCCCCCCCCCACCCCCGACGAAAAAAAATGTCAAATTTTCAAATTTCGAGACCCCCCCCAAAAAAATGTCCGCTTACCCCCCCCCCCCCCCCCCCACTGAGCGACTTTTCGGCCGGCGCGATTTTCAAATTTTCGGGAGCAAAATATTTTGGGTCAGATTTTAAAACCCTCCCCCCTTGAAAAAATCCTACGTACGCCCCTGAGCAGCAGTGTCACCATATCTTGAATAAGTTTTTAAGTTTAGATATGTATGCTTTGTGTACTTTGGATACTTTGTGTAATTTTAAAGGATATTTATCTGGCCAAATAGTTTGAAATAGGGTAGGAAATCTAGGAATGCCCTTTGTAGGTCATCCTCTTGAGATGCAGATCAACTTTGACTTTTCATCATTCGGAAGGTCACTTAATGACCATTTATCTTGATTTTCTTACTTTAATATTGAGGGAACGTTTTAATCCAAATTCTTATGTTCAACAAGTCCCTTCAGAATTTACACAAAGGTTCACTTGATTTAGTTCAAGGCCCAAACCACATCATATTTGTTCATAGGGAATATGATGTTAAGAATATGGTTAATGTTTGATGATAATAGACACCCATTATAAACACTCAAACATTTAGGTTAACTTACTCAGTTATATCCTGTTTTAGAGTGTGTAAAGAAATATGTGACACATTTGCTTACCTATTCTCTGCTGCTTTACTGCTCTCTCTATCTGTCTGTCTCTCTCTCTCTCTCTCTCTCCCTCCCTCCCTCTCTCCCTCTCCCCCTCTCTCCCTCTCTCCCTCTCTCTCCCACTTTCCCTTCCATGATGTTCCATCCCTCCCTCCCTCCCTCACTCCCGTCATCACTTCTTTCTTCCCTCCCTATCTCTCTGGCTGTCCCCTCTGTCTACATCTCTCCAACTTTCTCTCTCCACATTGCCATCTTCTCACCGTCTCCATCTGCTTGTCTTTCCTCCAGGCTACATTCACTCGATGGTAGGCAGTTACACGGGCCAGAAGAGTTTGAGGACCATGAATTCTATGTTGCTAGTGGGCGAGAAAACTTTAAGAAGGTCCCTTACCCCAAGGATGGTGTCATTGTATCGCCAAGGGTACTGAGGTAAGATATTTTCCATAACTTTATTTTGTCTTCTTTTTTTTTTTCCTTTGACATTATAAGGAGATAATATTTTTATTTATTCATGTTTATTTGAAAAAGTCTCATTTAATTTTTTTTTTTACTGAGACTGAGAAAAGAAAATGCAAGGTCATTAGCCTTTCACTTACCATTTTAAATACTCTAATGTGTTCAACAAAAGTGTTTAAAGTGTCATTTACGGTAGTTGAAGCAATGAACTTTTTTTGGGGATACATTATATAATATATCATGCCTTCTTTTCGAGGTACTGGTTAAAACTATGGGCCTCTGGGACTCCAATAGTAATATAGTATTGGAGTCTCCTCTTGCCAGTAGGTTTAACCAGAACCTCTCAAGACAGTGTATATTATTTCATTATTATTTCCCGTCCATAGGCCTGCCCTAGTCAGAAGAAGGATAACAAGATTGTCCAAAGACTCCAAAGCATCAAAAGCATCCAAGGAATCAAAAGAATCGCAAGAATCACGAGAATCGAAAGAATCAAAACCCGCTCAAACGGTGAGTCCAGATGGTTATTGGCATCATCCAGTTGTACAGATCATGCACATGAGCTCAACATATATAAGAATGTTGGTATAAAATTAGTGCGTTATAAATTGTTCTTTCCCATTTTATTTCTGTTTACTTCTATAGTCTTGCAGTCAAAGCCAAGTTTAATGCTCTTTGAAATGGATTTTACAAAAGTGCTCACATAGTATGATTGTATTGTTTGAACAAATGTCAAATATGTTATCAAATTGAATGGAAGAAAATAAATGTATATTTGAATTGAATTGAATTGAATAAAATTGAAAGTAATGACGTAACTGTTTTCCCCTGAAAAGGGCTGAACAGTGCCATGCAACCATAGCATAGAGTAGAGATGTCGATATATCCGACATACTGGTAGACATTCCTGTATCGATTCTCTGTTATCTTTCCTTTTGACAGGAGCAGAAAAAATCCAAGCCCTCAAAACCATCCAAACCATCTAAGCCATCAAAGTCATCACAGCCGACCCCACCGAAGATCAAGAAGGAGAAGAGCCCAGAGCAGAAGGAGGCTGAGGAGGTGTTCCATCACAAACCCACCATGGTGAAGAGGAGCCGAGAGAGGGATCAACAACAGAAGGAGAATGCCTTGGATTACAGCGATGGTAAGTTAGATTCCATCTTTGTTTATTTAAACGAACTCCTAATAAGGCCCACCTTTATTAGCCAAATTTTTAACATAGACCTGTCATTCCGCTCCAGAGGCATTTACCCGATCACATATAACTCAGTTTAGTCGTCATTGAAGATGCGAATAGCAGGCTTTTACACTGTTGTGATATTAGTTTGAGCTGTTAACCCAAGCGAACAAGAATTTTTTGTGAAGTAGTCTGCTGTCAAAGCCAATTAGCAGACTAATTCACTGGTGAAGACACATTTGGATCGTAATTGCTCTAAAACTCAAGCTGATTCCTCTATCAATTCGGGCTTTGCTGAGCTCCAGCTAATTGAGACCTGGAAAATCAAACTCCTGACTACAGTATGTGTATCTAAGCTTGAGCTTGTTCAGGATTTAATGGGCAAGCAACTTGAGAGAGTGCTGTGTTATGCGATATCTTCATTAGTTATTTTGTAAGTCTTGTATCGGGTCATGTCGGTATGACTTAACATTGATAAAAATCAGTCTTTATTTGTTTTATTTCATTTACTATAAAGTTAAATCCCCTTCAGTTACAGGTAAGTTCAGCAATCTATTTTGCATTGTTATTTGAACGACTGCTATCAAATCATCTATAGCAAGGTCAGTGCTGACATCTAGAATTATATTCCCTAGCTGCTCTGTTTAATTTATTTGCATCTCTGATGCTAGGATGTAGTCTCCCTACATCCTTGTTGCCATGTAGATCATTTGTTTACAGAAATGTAATATGTGTAAACTGTAGCTGAATAGTGGCCTATTATGCCTAATGTGGATGACCTTGCCTATATTAGCATATATGTGCTTATTGCTGCTTTGTAGTCGGTGCCATTTGTCACGTCAATAGATAATTGATAAAGTTCCATTCACCCTTCGTGATTATTGGTTGGGGTGTTGTTGCCGTGACATTAATCGCCCCCGTTCCTTATTAATTTTCTCCTCGCGGACATTTACCCGTCGCCCAGTTGCGCACACTCAATCAAAATGATTAGGCATTTCCTCCAATAGAAATTACTGGTAATAAAACAGCTATTATAATATTTTTTAATCTCAAATGTTTCATTTGAATGATGATGTTTACCCAATTATAAGTTCAATCCAACTTGGCCTTGTGAAAAAAGAGATGATTGAAATGCACTTGGTTTCATGACATCATTTGTTTTCCATTGTTTCTCAATTATGCTAGGCAGATGATAATTGCACTCAAGGCACAATAATTTGTTTGTGTTTTGGTCCTGAAAAACCATATGTATTAAAAGTGTCTCTCTTATACATTGGTCATAGGAGGAACATAAGGTATCCATTCAGTCCCTCGCTTTCCATTACAAATTTAATGACTGGAAAAGTTTGCAGCAGTGATGATTTAAAGATAGAGCATAGACCAGGAGCATTGACAGTTGGAGGATTTTCTTTCTCCCTGTGTGTGAATGTGTGTGAATTATACATTTGTGACTACAATATATGAAGGAGGAGGCATTAGTTAGAGATGGCACTTCAGCATTATCTATCCAACTACGAGTACGGTCAGTTGCTTACGTTGTGCTTTCTGGTTCGAGTGTACAAGCTGCAATGTGATTGGTTGAATGATGTCACATGACTGCTAATTTTCTCATTGTGTGCAAGACAATGTCATCGAAATGTCTCGCATAATTAGTGTCAGAGTTTGTTGACACAAAGTTTAAATGAAGATGCAATTAAATTTGCATTTGCTAAGATCTTTCTTACGTAAATGGAGAAGCACTTTTCTCTTTGATTGTGATATTGTTTAAATGTTATGCAAATGATATTCTCCATTACCACAATGCTAATTAGCTTTTTTGTTTGTAAACAACTTCAGCTCTCCGTATTTTGCAGGAACTCTTGTCATACAGTATGATCAATGCATTTAGATTGAGCAATGTCAATGTGTGTTTCTGTCCCTTGCGAGCTTTAGTTAACATACTTGTCAAGTTGCAATTTATTGTAATAGTAGTAGTTGTAGCTGACAATTTATTGGGTGAACTGTTATGTGTAATATTTTTATAATTCAATTACAAGTAATGTAAATATTTGTAATTACCGGTAGTCTGTATTTGTTTTAAATATATTTTGTAGGTTCATGTACATGTACATGTATGTGTAGATAACAAATATACATTGTAGCCCTGTGCATATCAGGTAGTTGTTTTGGGGTCTTTCTTTCTATTCTTTTAGTGATGAATAATTTCCTCCTTCAACACTGTATTTCTGTTCTCTTGGTCTTGGTCACTCCCTGATAACAAAGAAAGAACAGTGTTATTATTAATCAAATTTAAGGATACAGGGCATTGTAATTTGTTTCATGAAACCGTCATACCTGTAAGTACATGTCGGCAGACTTGTGCTTGTGACAGTGTCATGAAACGTCGCCTGGGAGTTGGAAGCAAGCCCTTTTACTTTTGTCTATTAAATGTACATGTACCATATCCATGTTATCAATTCAAATAGTTGTATGTATGCCTAATAATGTTAGACACATACAATTAGACACCATTCCCTAATCATCGTCCATTGGCCTTGGACTCATGTATTTGTTTAACATGCTTTTAATCCAGTTACTCTGAATGTTTTGACAGTATGCAATTGACTGAGAGACAACACACTAAGCACTATAATAATTTCATTGCTCATTGCCTTGGAGCATGTAGGCTTCCAGACTAATTGCTATTAGCTGATGGGTCCAATCATCCATGCATATAATGAGAATATGATCAATAGCAAATCATGAGATTAAAAGTGTCTGGATTATTAATACTGTTTCTATATTTTGTACATGAAAGTCTGATCAAACCGCTGCTGTTGCCTAGCTGTAATAATAACAAAATAAATAATTGGTTCTTGTATAGCGCATGTCACATTATAACATCTCTATGCGGCACTTCCAAGAGTTTGGAAATTAATACCCCAGTTTTAGCTTGGCTGCCATGACGGCGCTCTAGCATTTCAAGGAATTTATTCCTGCCAGGTACCCATTTACCTTGATCACCTGGGTCGAGTATAGATTTTGTTCGTTCGTGTCTCCTTAGATCAAGATTAATGTATCTTGATCTAAGGAGTAGTTGCTACAACCAGCAGTGTCAGACACGTTGCCCCAGGGTGCGAGATAGGACTTTTGTAGCATGCCCCCATTTAAACCAATTATACAATAACAATTAACATTACATTTAATTAAAAGTATGAAACTATTAAATTTACTCTCATGTTACGTGAACAAATATATATATATATTATGAATCAATTGATTTGGTCGATCCAGTTCGATGGCAAAAACACGGCACTACTAGACAGAGATCCTAATAATAACAGAGCTTGGTCTTATTGCTCTGTTCGCCGGCAGTTTGAGGATATGGAATCCCGTGGCACATTACTCACAAGAGTTCTAACAAGCCAAGCTTATACAGAGCCTATAATAAGTAATGTTGTGCATGTACCACAATATGTAGATTAATGTCTTGCCAAAGGACATACCTGTAAGTGCCGCGGCGGGATGTTCATGTCTGAATGTCTTGATTTCTTGACACCCTGTTTCATGACAATTCATAATACACCTTAATATAAACCATACACTTGACACCCTAATTGCTATAGATGCAGAAGGGGTGTTTGAGACAATTTCTTATATTCAGACGATTCAAAGTTGACTTTAACATCCTTGATCATGAAGTCTCCTGAGTACACCTTACACTTAACACCCTCCCTCTCTCTCTTTCTCCTGTAGATCCAGAAGGTGTCTTCAAGGCCAAAGAAGAAAGGAACGAGACCAAGGGAGCAGCCGAGGTCCAAGATACCGTTGAGACTGCCATCGACCTTCCCATCGACCAGGTGGCTGCTGAGGAAGTGGAGGAAGAAGAAGACCTTGGTAAATATTAATTCTTATTAAGTCTTATGTTATGCAATTTTATGCAATTTACCTGTAAAATGGAGACTGGCCGGAATGCTCCTCAGGGAGTGGAGAATGTGCATACATTGTGTGCGGGTAAGCCTGAATCCGATGACCGGGGTAATAATATATCTGTGAAGCGCTTTAATAGACACATCGATGTATCGGGCGCTACATAAAAGCGGAATATTATTATTATTTTGATATAAACCATACTCGAGTGGAAATATGAGTAACAAAGGAATAATAGAATTTTAGAGGAGCACAGGTCACTTGTTTATCTTGAGGTTTTTTTCTCCATGTATTCCTGCCCTCGTCACTTGAGTAATATTACCCCTTTTTCTGTCCTTCCTAGATCTGGGGGATAATGAGGATGATAAGCCAGAGCCACCCAAGGAGTCCGTGGACCTCGTCGGGAGGATGCTGGAAGACGATGAGGTACCGGAAGCTATCCCCGACGATGCCCCACCCACTGTGGATGAGGATGATAATGTGGTGGTCAATGGTGGTGATGATGATGAGGGTGGTGATGTTGGTGTCGGTGATGATGTAGGTGCTGGAGCACAGGAGGAGAAAGCAGGAGGAGGAGCCAAGGAAGAGAAGAACGAGGAGGACCAGGTGGGTTCTTTGGAAACCTTTTAAAGGCATCTTCATATTTAACCCGTCACCATCCTTTAGCCACTTATTTCCCCATCTTCATTTGTCTTTCAAAACAGAATAACCCAGTAGCAACAGAAATTGATTCTGTATGTCTTTCAATCTTTGAATTGATCCTCTTTTTTATCATAAATTTTTTTGTTTAAATCTCAATTTGGAAAGATTGGAAAGAATTTCCATTTTAAGTTCTCTTTGAATGAAGTGTAATGGTAGAGGCATGGATGTATGTTGTGTTACGGGTCTTTAGGTTATCTCATTTCCTTTTCTTTTTAAAATCCTTTCAGAGTGCAAAACATCAGATAAGATTACTGTACATGCGGAAAAAACTAACTGAGATGGCTTATTTTCAGTTTTTGAAATACTCCCATAAATATTCAATTCAAAGTAAAAGTGAATAGTAAACACAGAAAGTAAAAGTATTATAATTTTATCTGAACATCTGAGCAAACATCTATTCTGTATAAAGTTGTTCACACTGTAGGTCCCTCCTCCTTTCTCCACCTTTCTGGCGATTTTAACCAACTAGTTGCTGTGGTAATATAGTAATAACAGTTCCTTTGTAACCATCTTGCTAGGTAACAAAGCTCTAGGGGTGCAACAGAACCCCGCTTACGGCCCCCTTCTTCCACCCAGCGAAGGTACTCAATAAGTTTGGTCTTTAATCATCCATTATGTGGTCCTCATTTGCACTAACATGCATGGAACAAGCATTCATCAATTGGATCCCAACATGGATTGATAACATAACAGAAACATATTTTATGGTCCATGTTAAGCATTGAAAAGCATTTCAAGTTAACGCTCTTTCAGTATGTTTTTTTATGTTCCTACGTGTATCATTGCATGCATGTAATATTTTTTAATAGTTTTTTCATGAAAAGCATGAAAAAATGCACATTATATATCATTTTCCCTGCGGAGAATAAGCTGAAGCAATGAATTCCATTATCTATTTAAGCATAATTTTGATTTAGTTTAATTAGGTAATGTGCAGCTAGTATTTCACTCCAGCTGCATACCAAGGCTTTAAGAGCCTACTTTTTTTCTTATTTTTCCTGCTCTATCATGTTAAAATAGCAAACATTCCCCTTCTATGAAGAAAAATATTTTTTTTAAATCATGTCTATATGCGTTATTAATATCCCCTTACACTTTTGCAATGTGCAGCTAGTCTTTCACTTCGGCTGCGTACTTAAGTCTTTAAGAGCCTTTTTTTCCCGCCTGCTCTATCATAGACAGCAAACATTTGCCTTCTTTAAAAAATAAAAAAAATAAAAAAATAATTTTTCAAAGAGTTATGTCCATAAACGTTAATGATATCCACTTGCACTCTTGCGTGATATGATTTTATTCAAATTTCTGTTACCTTCCATCTTTTTTTTCCTCTCATGGGCTTTTGACTTAAAACCAACCTTTTCCTTCTTTCACGTTGATCGTTTCCATTCGAGCAGCCTAATGCTTTCTTGACTGATGACCTAGGTGAGAATACGGTATGATGACGCCACAGCACGCTTACATTTTATTTCTTTTGACTCACTCCTAACAGGTTTGGATTGGTTGTACGTTTGTTTGTTGCATGGTTTGCCGTGTGGTGGATGGTTGTTTTTAACCCCCTTATACAGTGCGTCCCAGAAAAAACGAAACCGAGAATTATCGATTTTTATCATAACTTAATCACGATTATAATTAATAAATGATACATATGTGTAAAGCTTAGATCCTCCTCTTTCATCTGGTGCAACTCATATGAGGCATATTTCATGCATGAGTGATTAGAATCAATTTGAAGAAAGGGTACCAAAAAGACATTTGGTGGACGGTATGATAAAACATTGATAATTCTCGGTTTCTTTTTTTCTGGGACGCACTGTATATTTAACCCTCTAATGTTCCTTTGACGGCAGTATCAACCATTTGTCAAAATCATCAATTCTTATGCAGCTCTGCTTGTAAAATGTGTTGTAATCATAAGAACATTCAAAAATTATTTATTGAAAAGACATGATTGCTCAATGGATAGGGTTTTGGCCCTTGGTTCAAAATAATGTTCAAGTTTATAACAAATTTTGATTGTTTTATTGTAATACAAATCACCAGGGAATATCTTGGGAGTGTTACCAAAATAAGGTTACCATCTTTTTATGTTAAATCCAAATGGATAACCAGAAAATTGAAGTCGTATTTGAGCAGTCAGATTTATAGGAATTCATATTTTTTGAGAAATTGTTGTTTCTTTCTCTAACCCATTGCTTTCTACAGTATAACAAATTTTGTGTGGCAATACATGTATGTTAATTGTTCATACATTATTACTCTTTTTGCAGTTTTTGTTTTAAAGTCTGTGTTCATGCTGAGATTTCCTTTTCAATTGACCTATATTTTGTGTGTATATCTGAGTGTCTCTTGTCCTAACCGCTTTCTTTATCTATGGAACCTATTCTTTTCTGTGAAGGCTTTCCCCATGTCAGTCAACATGGTCCAACGCTGCAAAAAGTGGATTCTCCGCGTGAGAACACGGCAAAGACCGTCCCAGCTTAGTACTGGAGTATGTTGAATCTCAGTCTCTTATAAGGGGGAGGACCCTAGTATATATAGTCTGGCATTTGTGGACTAAATTTTTGAATATTGCAGTGGATTTACTATAAACCTTGCATACTCTGTCTTATAATAGTTACCTGCAATCTATAACTTGGAAACAATTATCAAGTCTAGAATCTCTGGAAAAAAAACTGATTTATTTATCCAATTGTAGCAATTTGAACATTGATCTTTCACGATGAATGAGAAATGTCCCAATTTTGGGATGTATTAGTCAGGAATCATCCCATGACTTTTCTCCCTCCATGGGCCCGTTTCATAAAACTTGTTATCTATAACAACTGCTAAATTTCTATGACAAATTTGCTCTCAGCCAATCAGATGCCATGATTTAAGTAGCTTATAACAGTAGCTTGTATTATTGATAACAAGTTTTATGAAACGGGCCCCTGTAAGCAGTTTGGGATCATAGTTTAATGAATGATGATTGTTATTTAGCTTTGCATTCCTCTCTTTTTTATAAAACAATTTCATTGCTGTTTTAAATGCAAAATATTTTTATTTTTTCTGTAAGATGCTGTTATATATAACATACATTTACTTTGCAAGATCTGCATGGCTTCATTCAGGATCTTATCTGCTTAATTAAAACTTCTCTTTTTTCTTTTGAATCTGTGATGCATTTCTAACTACCTTGTTACTTGTGTTTTATGACTTAAATTGACGTTAACATGAACTAAATCATATTTTGTCCATATGAGTATGCATTCCATTATTCATACTAATTCATCATTCCATGTTGTGCATTGCTAACAAATTTGTTGTTGCACATCCAATAATGTTTAATGTGCCATAACTCATTTCTCTTTAATTTTATGTCACATTTTTATGTTATTGTTTAAATGATGTGCATTGTGTGATGCTTCATAAACTGTATTTGTTTGAACAGAAAAGGAAAATTTTATTGATTTACGTGCTATAAAATGCCTGTCTTAATATCCGGCCAAATAGACTACCCTTTTTGTACGACTGAAGATGAAATAAGTGCCGGTATGGAAAAGATTTTTAATAATTTCAGTTTAATTTTAGTAAATTTGACAAAATTCCTTTTAGATATCTCCTGTACTACTTATATTAACAATGCAAGATAAAGGCTACAACATGCTGTAATGGTGATTGTTGTGCAGCACAAATAATATGAAAAATATGAATTGGACTGTTATTTAATATAATGTTCCTCTTCTTTTCTACTTTGCAGCATGATGACAACCCAGTCTCCCCTCCCGCTAGAGCCCAATCACCTAATGAAAACAACAACAACAGTGCAGAGAACAGGGATATTCCACCAGAGAATAGGGATGAGCAAGTCATTGAAACTGCAGGGAGCCCTGCACCTTCTGTCAAGCCAGAGAGTTTACCTCCGCCGTCCCCCACCAAGTCTAATGGAAGAGTCGAAACTCCCTTTCAGAACAATAACAAGGGTGCGTTGAGTCGGAAGAGTTCATCTCGGAGTAGGGAGGGTCAGTCGAGAATAAGTCCTCACCCACCTGCCACGAAACGTAGCGTGCCACCTTCTCCTGCGGCAAGCAACAGAAGAAGTGTGACCCCGAAGGAGATCATAAGCAATGATGTAGAAAGTCGACCTCAGAGTCAGAGCGTAGAAGTGGCGGATTCGGCTCCGAGTCCCCAAGCTCCACCCTCCCCCGCTGTGCAAAATGGACAAGTCCAGCTACCTGTTGAGAACGATACCCCAAGACCAGTCAGTGGGGGTGGTCAAAATGTAGAAGCCACTTTAACTCCTCATCCTCCACCCTCAGAACAGAATGCGGCACCCTCCCCCGCGGTGCCAAATGGCCAAGCCCAGTCACCTGTTGAGAACAGTACCCCAAGACCGGTCAGTGGGGATGGTCAACCTCCCAGCAGGGGTGGTCAAGTTGTAGAAGCCACGGTAACTCCTCATCCTCCACCTGCAGACTCAGAGCAGAATGCGGCACTCTCCTTCGATGTCCAAAATGGACCAGCTCAATCACCGGTTCAAAATGTTAGCCCAAGACCAGTCAGTGGGGGTGGTCAAAATGTTGAAGCCACGTCAACTCCTCATCCTCAACCCTCGGAGCGAAATGCGCCACCATCCCCTGCAGCCAGCAATGCACAAGCCCAGTCACCTATTCAGAATGCTAGCCCAAGACCAGTCAGTGGGGACGCTCCACCTGAAAGTGGGGGTGATCAGATCGTTGATTCAGCACCGAGTCCCCACCCACCTGCCTCTGAACGTAATCCCACACCCACTGCCAGCACTGGACCAGCCCAGTCCCCCATCAAAGACACTAGCTCCAGACCTGAAAGCACACATGCTCCTCCAGAAAGCGATGTTGCCCAAGGTGCCACTGCGAGCCCCAACCCGCCCCCCTTAGAACCCAATAAACCTACCTCCCCTAAGGGTGATACTGAACCATCCCAATCGCCTGTTAATCAGGACACTCCACTTGCAAATAAGGATGAACAGGCTATCGATTCTGCAGAGTCCAAAGACAACGAAGCACCCCTGCCTCAGAAGGATGTTGACAATGCCGTAGACACTGAGCCAAGAGAAGGACAAGTGGGCGCATAATATGGATTCATTCTGAAACAAACGATTATTTTTACAAGACTCTTTCTATGAGATATACAGGGCAGCCTATGACAGATTTTAACTTTCTTGTGAACTCAACGATAATGTCTTCATTCCTTCCTCTTCCTTTACGAATCCCCACCACATTCATCGCACTCGATTCCTTCAGTTTCAGCTGCCATTTTCCACCAGTTTTTGTTACATTTATACATTCCATACGTATACTGTTTGCTTACTTGTATTACCATTATAGATTCACAGTCATCCCACCAATCTTTTCTCATCCATCCATTTGTATATAACTTATCACACTCACCTTCCATGTATTCAAAGGAATGGGAAATCCCCATTCCCAGATTTGTCACTATAGAATTTATCTTCACACTGCACACTTATAACCTACAGTGTTCTTGTATTCAAAGTCGTGATCTTTATTTTCTGCATATGTTTTACTCGATTTATCTTGATTCATGGGAATTATGAACCATTGTATAAATATCTTAAATGTATATTTCCTATGAAATCCACTTTCAATCCGATGTATAATAAACCACTTTGTACATTTTGATAACTATATGTATGTGTAGATTTCTTAAGTAAGACATGTATCGTCTTTTTTATGTTGGTGTTTATTGTTGGAAGTGAATAGCTTTACACCTGATAAAGAGACTTGAGAATTGGGATAAACTTACATTGTCTTGCTCAGAATCCCCAAATTCTGTTTTCATGATCAGGTATAAACTTTTTTAAGACAGCCTACAGTGGAAAATAAGTTCAGATTAAAGCTGTACCATGAAATGATCCTTGAAATCCCCCCCCCCCACTTCTTTTTGGATGTGATACATGTATGCATGTAACTGTGCTGTAGCACTCTTTCTTGATCATTTTTCAAATGATACAATTATATCATACAATTATTTCATGTATTGTAGTGAGAGTTTGTTGTCATTGTCATGGCTTAGTTGAAAGCCAATCTATGTTTCATCCACATATTATTGTCTTTCCTGAAGCATTAATATGTCCAGCTCTTCATACTCGTACTTCAAGTTATACAGTACTTCAAAGATGTACTTCAAGTTATACAGTACTGCTATTTTTGCTTTAAATGGTACCAGAAAGATATATCTTACTTCAAAATTGCTTGATCTGTATAATTAATAATGAAATTCACATTACTGAACATGTATTATTGATGTAGTACTACTATTTTCTCAAATGTGTATTCCGGGTGCAGTCTTCTGAAATACATACTCTTTATACCAGGGAGAGACTGAAAAGGACCTCATATAAGATTTAAAACACATGACCCATGTCGGTTTAGAAGAACAAATATGAACGGCAAATACAAGTTTGATACAAGTTCTTGTAATGCATGTGTTCTTTAATAGGCAGTCACAAATAATCTGAACAAATACCACAGGGTTAAAACTGAATGTTCAAAAGGAAGAGTTTTTGAAGATCAAATAAGCAAAGAGATCAGAGTAGACAGCACAGAGGAGCAGTCTGTAGATGCAGAAGAAAGATGATAAGAAAGTAGTTATGACATTAAAGGCAGTAAGTCCCTTTTGCAGACTTGTGCGAGTGTTTAAAATATATCCTTCAGATATCATGTGTGAAATTTTTAAATACTGTAATAAGTTCTGAAACTTAGTAAGAAATGAAATTCTAGTGCTGTTTTTATATTGGCACAGAGATAGCTATTCTCAAATCAACAGATATAACGGTCAAGTATTCAAGTCTAGAAAATAAATATCTGTAATTAAACATTTAAAATTGATTTGTTGAAAGCCATTTTCTTTTGATTTTGTAATTGGTGGGAAATTCCTAATATTATACCTGTTTAATAAACCACTGGATTCATGGAAATCATGCGTTTTTATGCCTCCGTTACGAAGTAGCCGGAGGCATTATGTTTTCGGGTTGTCCGTCCGTACGTACATACGTACGTCCCGTTCTAGTGATCGCGTTATCTGAAGAATCGATTTATGGATTCCTGCCAAACTTTGGTCATGTATGTATCTTGCAAAGCCAATGAACTGATTAGATTTTGGGGTCACGAGGTCAAAGGTCAAAGGTCAAAGGTCACAGGGCTCATTAGGTATGCAAAAACAGCTCGTGATCGCGTTATCGGATGAACCGATTGATGGATTCCTGCCAAACTTTGGTCATGTATGTATCGTGCAGAGCCAATGAACTGATTAGATTTTGGGATCACGAGGTTAAAGGTCAAAGGTCACAGGGCTCATTATGTGTGCAAAAACAGCTCGTGATCGCGTTATCTCAAGAACCGATTAATGGATTGCTGCCAAACTTAGGTCATGTATGTTACTTGCAGAGCCAATGAACTGATTAGATTTTGGGGTCACGAGGTCAAAGGTCAAAGGCCACAGCGCACATTATGTATGCAAAAACAGCTTGTGATCGCGTTATCTCAAGAACCGATTAATGGATTGCTGCCAAACTTAGGTCATGTGTGTTACTTGCAGAGCCGATAAACTGATTAGATTTAGGGGTCATGAGGTCAAAGGTCAAAGGCCACAGCGCACATTATGTATGCAAAAACAGCTCGTGATCGCGTTATCTTAAGAACCGATTGATGGATTCCTGCCAAAATTAGGTCATGTATGTTACTTGCAGAGCCAATGAACTGAGCAGATTCTTGGTTCATAAGGTCCAAGGTCATGGGCTCATTATGTATGCAAAATTAGCTTGTGAACGCATTCTCATTAGAACTGACAGATGAATTACTATTTAACTCGGGACATCTTGCAGAGCCAATGAACTGAGTAGATTTTAGGGTCATGAGGTCAAAGATCAAAGGGTCATATATGTATATGAGAAATTGCTTGTAATCACGATATTCTGAGAACCTGTCAATGGATTACAATTGAACTTGAATTTGAAAAATTTCTTCTGTTTTGGTTTGTAAAATTGCTCTATGACGGAGGCATCATTTTCGACTGCGCGCAGTCGAATTCCATCTAGTTTAGGTCTAGGTCTGCAAAAGGGACAAACGATCTTGAATGTTTAGAGCCAGAAAAGAGAGCTCATTGTGAGGAGTCCTGATTCTGAGCTGACAATACGCTGATAGGAAGTTGCATCAGATTTAGGAAGAATTTTTAAAAGGTTTTACCAATCTTTTCTCTTGTGTATTAATTACCGGTAATGGGATTGTAATTATTTTTCTACAACTTCTCACGATTGTATTGAAAATGAATTTCAAAATCATTTTAATTAAGGATGCAATGTTTTGCTCTGGCATTTGTTTTATTATGTAGCCCCATAATGACCTAGTATACAATGATCTCCTATAAAATTAGTCTATATAGCTTATCTTCTATAATATTTTTTTTCTCACAAACTTGTTGAGTCTGATTATGATCAAATACATAAATACAAAAATAGTTGATCGAACAATAATGGCTTTTATTCCCCAAGGTTCAAAATTAATTCATTGATTTCATTCTGTTATGGACTGCTTTAGCTGTGGAGAACAAGATGTCTTTATTCTTGATCAAATTATTTCATGTTTTCTTTTCTTATCACAATGAGGCATTAGAGTTGGCAATTTTTCAAATAAAATAAAATAATACTCCTGCAATATCACTGGTTGTTCCGTCAGAAAAAAAATGTCATGGTTGACAAAGATCATGGCTTAATTTGTAAACTACTTCGGGTGCAGTAAAATGCTTAAGTATAAATTCAGGTGGAAATTGAAAAATGTGTGCTGAGAAAGAATTTAAAGAATACATTCCTTTCCATTTGATTTCTTAGATTTTTTGTCCCAGATATATATCCACTTGATGTATATAGAGATACATTTCATCTATTTTCTTTGAAGTAACACTAAAGGTGATATAAAAACAGAGTGTATTATTGTACATCATAAGTATATAGTTACAAAAGACTCGATGAAATGTTCAAAATGATGAAATACTTTGAATGTAAATAGCCTTATTTTTATATATTTCAACACATGTGAATTTTAAAGTTGAAACATATATTGTTTACATTTGGATTCGAGAGAGGTGCTGAGAAGTGCTACATACAAAAAATAACATCAAAGTTGAGTTATACTTTACTTTTACTTGTGCTAGCATTTTGTTATCATTTGATGTCTTTATACAGTTCTGTTTCGTATAAGTTGCAGTAAAATAATACGGCTTGCCTGAAAGACATTTTGATAATCTTTTGTTTGAAGTCTGTTAAACCCAGTCATGCTCTACCAAGATGCATGCTTAAAGTATAGTTACAACTGGGGGGCGTTTCACAAAACTTGTCATCAGTGACAAATGACGTTTTTTTCTTATAAGCTACTGAAATCCTTGTTTCTGATTGGTTATCAGCTAATTTGTCACTGATTTTTGTTATTTGTCATTGAAAAAAAGCTTTGTGAAATGCCCCGCAGAACTGATCTTTCAGATAATTTGACAGTGAATTCAACACTGACAAGAAATAGTAGAGTGCCTTTCAGTCATGCCAGGCAAATATTTGTTTTAAGGCAGATAATAATTAATGGGATATAGCATGTATTGTGTTTTTGTTATCGACTGTAAATATATAGTGACCTGCATTGCCAATAATTCCATGGAAAAGTTTTGTACAAAGTGTAGTATTTATATCAGATATGTAGTATATATGTAATAAATTGTGGATACTGAAAGGAAATTGTATATTTTCTGGTTATTTCTTTATATGTATATATATATATTATATATATATATATATATATATATATATACCACCATTCTTATGTAAGCTTTCAGGTATTCTTATTTGAATAATACATGTATACCTATATTTGGTGATGGTAAGAATAAAGATGATGATTGGTGGTGATGAGGATGAGGATGATATTATTGATGAAGATGGTGATAAAGATTCTTTTTGGTGGTTATGATGTTGAGGAGTAGGATAAACATGACTGAGAGAGATGATTGATAAGTCAAGATGGTGAAGATGATTTGAATGATGGTGATGATGATGATGATGATTGGTGGCAATGTTATAAAGATTATGGAGATGATGATGGTTATGTAGATAAAGATGATTGGAGGTGATCAAGAGGAGAGGGAGGGGAGGATGGTCGGAGGAGGACATAGATGATAAATGATGATGTTAAAAATTGTGGAGATGATGGTAGATAAAGATAAGTGGTGGTGCATGAAGAAGGAAAGGGAGGGGAGGATCGGAGAAGGATAAAGATCTGGCAATGGTGATGTTAAAGATTGTGGAGATGATGCCGGTCATTTAAATAAAGATGAGTGACGGTGATCACGCATGAAGAGAAGATGGAGGGGGAGGTCACTGGAGGAGGGTAAAGAAGAGTGATGTTGATGTTTAAGAAAGATTATGGAGATGATGGTGCATGGTCATGGAGATAAAGTTGGCGGTGATCAATGCCTAATGATGAAGAGGAGAAGAAAGGGAGTGGGAGGATGGCCGAAGGAGGAGAATAAAGATAATACATTGTGATGTTAAAGATTGTGGAGATAATGATGATGGCATGTAGATAAAGATAAGTGGTGGTGATCAATACATAATGATGAAGAGGAGAAGAAGGGAAGGGAGGGGAGGATCGAAGAGGATAAAGATCTGAGCAATGGTGATGATAACAAGTTGTAAAGATGATTGGTGGTGATCAATGCACAATGATGAAGAGGAGAAGGAGGGGAGAGTCGAGGAGGATGGAAGGAGGATTAGGATAAAAGAGATTCATGGTGATGTTTTAGATTATGAAGATGATGGCGGTCATGTAAATAAAGGTGAATGGCAGTGATCAATGATGAAGAGGAGAAGGGTGAGGAGGGTTGAGGGAAGCTAGGAGCTCTGGGGAGGATCTAGGGTTAATTAATGGTGATGACAATTGAGATGTTTGGTAGAAGTGATGAGAATTTGAGATGATTGGTGGAAGTGATAAGGATAAAGATGGATTTGAGGTATTCCAAACGAATATGAATATGAGAATAAACAAAGGTGTATATTGAAGATAATTTAAGATCGCGGAGATTTCCGAGAAATCATCTATGGCTGTATATGAGTATATTCTTGTTTAGCGCCATCTCTCGGTTGAAGAGGAGAAGTGATAGCGGTGCCTTGGAGAACTTTCTGGACAGTGTTTCTCTAGTAAATATCAGTAAATTTCCTTAATATGGCTTTAGCTCGTATATCTTTGCTGAAAGCTTGGCGACCAGTGTTAGCAGTGAGGTTTGTATTTGAAGTATTCGCAATTTGAAAGTTAATTAATGGCGAGTTAACGAATGGGTGTGCGATGTTTAATGAGAGAGTGTCGTCATAAAGAAGAAGCTACAATTTTGTTTTCATTATTGTCCCATGTGTTGAAATCCGTGTCGTGTCATGTGCCAGACCAGTAAATGAAACCCCATTTTGAAAATAATCACTCTGATTATCTAAATGAGCTGGGGCTTGTAGCTGCGGATCCAGTTCATAGATCTGTCGTGTCTGTAAATGAGTAACTTGGTAATACTTAAGGTTCTGCCCAATTTAAGTCTCACTTCCAGAACAGAAAAAATGCTCTAGACTTTAAAAGTAAAAAGTAAAATAACTAAAACTAGAGTAGAGGAGGGGGTTTTCGGCCACTTAAGACAAAATCCTATTTTTTGGACCCTTTACTTCCTATTTATTATCATTTCTTCTTCAAATCATGAAGCACTTATTATTATTATTTAAACAAAAAAAGAATCCCAGAAAAAAATCACGAATTGCCATGACAATATTCATTTCAATTTTCACTGTTTCGGAGTCGGTTATCGGCATAGCGAACCAGTTTTCGGTCGCATGTACAAAGTCAATAGGAAGCGTGCGTGTGCGCCGTGCGTTTCCGCGCTGATCCATAGTACTAGCGGGCGGAGCAGGTATCCCACGCCGGAGCACCCCGGAGCTCCCCAGAGCTCGCCCCAGAGCTCGCCAGGCCGAAAACTAGTACTGCAGTGATCGGACATTGGAATCTGAATTAGACAGAGATATCGTGTGTGCGTTGCGGTGTCTGGCTGCATTGATTTAATACATGCGGTGAGATACTTTTGAGCTTGGGACCAGCACAAAATTGAGCTCTTAATCTAAAAAATACTTGGAATAAATTTCATTTTATGGTACCCATATTTCTTACAGACACGCGTAAGATATTCTATTTTTCAGATTGGGGTAGCGGGACCACGGATTACATCGCTAAAATGTGATATTTTAGGATATTTTTTTCATTACAAATGTGGTTCTTCAGTGACTCTGGCATGGTATGGTATGTGTGGGATATGTGATATGCTATTATGCGATGTGTTTTAAAGGGATTTTACCATGCATCCAACCAATCGGCCAAAAACTGAAGCTGGTCGATAACCCCCTCCTTTACTCTAAAAAAAGATACTCAAATGATCAAATAGGGGCCTACCTTACTGATGCAGAATAACAAGTTTAAGGTCAACATTGAAGCTCATTTGGTTAGATTTTAGGCGTTTTTTCAGGACAATGCAATCCTTTTTCTAACAGTGTAAGTACGAGAGGCGCAGTGCAAACAATGAAGCTGCCGCAAACCGCAGCATCTACTCTAGGTCTTTCTTAGCATTTCATTTAACAGAAAAGGCACCTGGTGCTAACGTGCATGAGTGCCAACAAATCATCGCTATTGAATATGAGGAAAATCAGGAAATTCAGATTAAGGATGAACAAGTTGGACCATGTTGCGAAATGCTCTGTTAATACATAGGATCTATTCTCAAAGTTCATCATCATAGGTTGACTCCCTACAATTGAAAGAGAAAAAAAAACTTGAGAAGTATCCGTTTCAAGAAATGAGGACCACTAAAGACTTTAACTTTTTTGTAGTTTTTTTTTTTTGTAAGATTTTTTAATTTGTTTATGTCTAACCGTATGCCTAATGAGCTTTTCCTTTTCTTGTCTTTTCTTGTCTATTTCAGTCAAGTCAGGATGGGGGGCGAATATGGATCTGGAGCAGGCAGTGTAAGTTAAGCTTCTATTTCTACTCATCAACCTCATTCACAAATGAACTTTTTAAATTTGATTTTGTTTCACTTTATTGTCAATCTTCAATAAAGGAACGTAGTATAAACATAAAAGACTTACACAGTCACACTGTCACAGACATATAATAAGAATAGTCCAGGTCATGGCTCATAACTGCCAAAGCAGGACATACAATACAAATCATGTAAGACATAAAGATGTTCTAAGACATAATTGCCAAGATTCTCAATAGTAATTATTGCGTTCATGGTGCAGCAATTTCTTACATTTGTGTTGTCTCTAGTACTTTACTTCCTAGTTGTCCAAATTTTAAAGTATAGGGTCGCATATAGGTAGAGAAAAATGTGAAATTTGCAGAGGATTTGAAGCTCCCGTTTCCCTCAACTATACGCGACACTTATGTTATATTTTTGTTATAACACTTTAAAAACCATCATTACAAAGTTAAATGACCAAAGCATTTTGTTTCACATGTCTGGATTTTTAACTCACTGATGAGCGAGTAGAGGCTTCTAATGCATGCAGCTATTGTTTGGGGGCCTTTACCGTATTTGCTATTTATGTACATGTTACATGTGAATGATATGCCACAGTAAGTTTAGATGGTTACTTTGTCATGTGTCAATGAGGCTTCATACTTAATAAAATAAGGTAACATTTCACTATGATAATAATAATAATGGTCACATTTTGCTGAATAATAACTTTCCAAGTGCCTTACATTATTATTATTACCCTGTTCATTGGATACAATAGCTAATCCACTCATGAAAGTGCACACGCTCCGCTTCCTGAGGGGTATTCCGACCAGGCACCGTGTTACATTTAACCTCTTTCTCAAAAGAGCATACGCACTTGTTTAATAATTTGTTTGTTTTATATTCATTATTTGTAAATCGCAAATTCGCAATGCAGTACTGTTTCATTCCTATAAAATCAATCATGCAATTTAGGCAAATTTAATCAGTTGTGATTACAATGTCTTAATTTTTTTTTAGTACGTTTATTTTTTTAAAACTTTTTTTTTGGGGGACACTACCCCTTCATCCAAGTAAAATTGTGTTTCTGCCACATCATATTTGGACATTTATATGCTCATCCTTGAATCCTGTTTGAGAATGATTGTTCTATTTCATTTCTTTTTATTTTGCTAATTAGGGAGGTGGTACTGGAGGATCTATCCGTGATGCAGGAGGTGCCTTTGGTAAGATGGAAGCCGCACATGAGGAACAATATTTCAGGGCATTGGTGAGTAGAGGGAAATGGCAATAGATTCTTTAAAAATCATGATGGTTTATTTGCCATTTCGTGGAATTTTATAATTTCAGCTTTTCGTTTCATTCAAGCATTTTATTCTGATGAATGCAAGACAAATAGTTTCAATACGTCTTATTTGAACTTTTTCTGAAAAATCTATTATACAACAAATTTTTAAGGAATGGTATTGATAATTTGCTGAAATTTGTTGAATAAGAAAGGATCATCTCCTTTTGTTTATATTAAAAAAGTAATTATTATTGTTATCATTATCAGTATGCTTAATATTTTTTATTTGGCAAGCATTTTATTCTGATGAATGCAAGACAAATAGTTTCAATACGTCTTATTTGAACTTTTTCTGAAAAATCTATTATACAACAAATTTTAAAGGAATGGTATTGATAATTTGCTGAAATTTGTTGAATAAGATAGGATCATCTCCTTTTGTTTATATTAAAAAAGTAATTATTATTGTTATCATTATCAGTATGCTTAATATTTTTTATTTGGCAAGCATTTTATTCTGATGAATGCAAGACAAATAGCTTAAATACGTCTTATTTTGAAGTTTTTTCTAAAAAATCTATTGTACAACAAATTTTTAATGGTATTGATAATTTGCTGAAATCTGTTGAATAAGATAGGATCATCTCCTTTTATTTATATATATTGAAACGTTAATTATTATTACTACTATATTGATTCTTATTATTTTTTATTCTGCAAAAAGAAAGTCAAGAAACAGTCAATAGAAAACAACAGTAATATTTTAAGTGAGTCACATGGATTTCCAGAAAATAAAAATAAAAAATATTAACAGTATGTTTCATATGCTTTTTGCTTGATGTGCACCCCCCCCCCCTCCTTCACTCCCAGTCCTTCTGACGAAATGATAGCAGTAAGATGTAATCACTAATAATAATAATAATAAACAAAAATATTCTTCAAGTCTGAGAGAATTTATTATTTTTTCTTTTTCTTTCTCTCTTTGAAGCAAGCGGAACAGCTCAAAGCCCTGAAGAAACACCATAATGACGAAATCGAGGCACATGAGAGTGAAATCCGTAGACACGAAGAATCAATCAAAAGGCTTAAGAAGCGAAAGGATGAAATCGAAAGCGATAGTGATTAGATTGAATTTATTCTAACTTGTCATACGGCACCATGTATGAAGCATAATGTATTGCAAGATGATATTTTCTCAGATTATCAGTATGTTTTGCTTCAAAGTTTGTTAAAGATCTGTATATTCATTCAGGAGTTAGTGGTGTGACCAACTATAAATACTGATCTAAAAGAGAAGAAAAATACTTTGCTCAAAAGGTGATTGTTCTATTTCTTTGATTTTGATCAACCTAAAAGAATGTGATTCTCTTCTGTCAATTTTATCCATAGATAATCTGAAATGATTGTAGTTATTATTTTTCTTCTAAAATGCATCTAATTGCCTTGTTATTTTACTGCGTATGCTCAAAGCAAATCAAGTTTCAACTTTTCAGACCACATGTGTTGAAATAAGTTGAAAGAGACCGTCTAATTTAGCAATTATCAGACATACTCTACAAATTGACAAATATCTTCCTTTTCCATACCTTTATCACATTGAGAGTTGAAGTTTAGGAGATTATTGATATGTCCATGTTTTGCATGAGAATCTGTGTCATTTCCTTGAATTACTTCAGGAAAACATACTTGACTTTCTCATATTGAAAGGAGACTCCTCATTGACGTATCCAAATGCTTACCCTGCGTGTACACACAAGGTATTAAGTGTGATACATGTACATGTATGTGTTGTTTATAGAGATGTGAAGTTAATACAAAATTAAAAACTAAAACAATGTATACTGCTTTTCATGTTTGTTTTTGTTGGATAATCATGGGTTTGAAAGGATAGTGTTGTTTACATTGTCTTTTAAAAAAAAAATGAATATCAATACATGTTAATATAAACCAATGGTGGCTTTAAAGGACAAACTTAGAAGGAAAAAAATTACCCTTTTATCTTCTAGCTCTGTAATACCATACATATTCTTAAATTGGCAGCACAATGAAGTTGCAAGAGTGTGAGAGGTTTTAGACGTAAAATATCACTGATACGACTTCTATGACTGGGACTACAGCATCTCGGAATCTGTATGTGTACACTGTCCAATGAGAGAAGCAAGAATACTGTGTTCTCTATAGGCCTATGTACATTTGTATGGAAATAATATCCCTCTTCAATCTTCATATACAATTCATAAAAGCAATTAATGCATGTATTTTCAATTCATTGTGCAAGATTGCAACATTGTGTAACATCAAAGAGTTGCTAATTTGGACTATTGTAATGATCATGGACCCCTCGGTCTTTAGTTCTCACTTATTCAGCTTCAGGCCCTTTCATTTTTTTTTTTTTTTGTCATTGTTTGCCTAAAATGCTTTTAAGTTTTTGAATTATCAAACTTTTATTAGGTTTCCAACTCTTGTGATTCAACTAGTATACAAGTTAACCAACAAATCTAGGTTATTTGTGTGTGGGGGGGGGGGGGGTCTGCTGAAATTGGTGACGTGGCATATATACTTGGTAGGGATGTGGTTGTAATGATTATGAAAGTGTTGAAAGGAGTGGTAAAAACTCACTTCATTTCGCTCTTGTTGATGCATTCTGGCCCCAACCATACATTATCAAGTAAATAAAATGGTACAGTGGCAAATTTAATTTGTGAGATCAAGTTTAGGATGTTTTTTGTTTAGGCTGATCAAGGATTTTGTTGGAGAAGGGCATAATTTTCAAAAATCTCAGGTGCAAGTTGGACCTAATATTGAACAAGGGGCACAAAAACAATTAATTTGTGTGTATTTTACTAATTATGGTGTGCACAGTTGTGTTTTAAGAGGGGATTATCAGGCGGTTGTCCTCCAACCTGAAGAAAAAGTCTTGATGAAGGACAATCTTGTAAAAGTTTAATCCATCCATTCAAAAACACAAACTCATGATGGGGACACCATGCACCCCCCCCCCCATATATTTCTCTTGCTCCTTCACTCTCTACCTTCCTCTGACTGTCTTGTTAAAATTCTCTCATCTCATATGTCTTGTCTACGAATTATCAACCCTTTTTCGTTTCTCTCTCTCTCTTCCTCTCTCTCTCTTTCTCTCTCTCTCTCTCTCTCTCTCTCTCTCTCTCTCTCTCTTTCCCCTCTCCTCTCTCTGTCTCTTTATGGACTATTTTCCCTCTACTCTCCAGTTCTTCTCTATTCTTCTATATATTTGCTTTCTCTAAGTGCTCCATAGATCGTTTCCTTCCATTTGCAGTATCCCAGTCTTTTGTATAGCTTTTTTGACTTAATAATAGGCCTATGATAATTTTTTATTAACTGGCTGATGATACCGAGCGTTAGGATGGGGGAGGGGCATGCTAACGGAGCATTCCAGCTGACCATCTGACCACGCCCACTTTAACGACCATATCCATGCATTGAGAGTTACCGCGCCGCATGCCACAGCAGACTGTGTTTATCATGTTTACGGGCCACCCAGGGCTCAGTTCACATTCAACATCGCTTGCATGCGAGAAAAGTGCTTAGTCATATTGACATATTGTGCACCCCGCTTTGGTTCGTTTCAATTATCGTTTCAATCACAATTGAATTGGAATTGTTACACTGGACTGGTCTGGTACACAGCTTAACGCCACGCACGAACTCATCTCTAGCTCAACTGCATGCACTAGCTGTTATAAATCTAGGCCAGGTGTACGTGTTTACCACTACTACCAAGCTGAAGTGAAGGAGCCTATTCAATTTCAAGGTTTGATTTCGCATCCCGAGTTTCAAAGCCAGACGAGGACCACGATAACGATACCATTTTTGTTCAGAGCAGGAAGAGATCGACATGGCAACCGCAAGCGGACTGAAAGTTGTATTGTTCTTGGGAACATGCAGAGAAGGGAGGATAGGTATTCGAGTGGCAAACTTTTTGATCAACCAACTGAAAGCAAGAGGACATGAGGTCGATTTTCTGGGTAAGTTACTAAGTAACCTCCCCTGACATGACTGAAAATCTCAAAATTTGTAATTTGACAAAATTTATATATTCATCCTCCTTCTCCCTCCTATCTTTCTTCTCTGCCGACCTTTTGTTTTTTTCCTCTCCTCCTTCTCAGTCGTCTGGCTCAAGTCCTCCTTGTTTTTTGCCATTATTACTCTCATCATCACCACCATCATCACCACCATTAATTGTCATTATTATTATATGATTATTATTGTTATTATTATTATTATTATTATCATTATTATTATTATTATTATTATGATTATGATTATGATGATTGTGATTATGATTATGATTATGATCATTATGATTATGATTAGAATCTATTATGATTATTATTTTTATTATTGTTATCATCAATTCGTCGTAATACAATCTAATGGTCAGTTGCCATAGATAGAACAGGAACTAGACTTCATCCAGGGGCTAGGGGTATTCTGAAAAGTTGTTGTGCAAGTTTTTTTTGTATCCTCTGAGATAAAAAGAGCGCTAAAATTCTTGTAAGTTGGTATTCTGAAAAATGTTTTAGCAGAATATTATCTCTGGAAGAGCTCTGTCTCTATTTTATCTTTGACACGCCAAGTTTTTGAAGTAAACCAAATAAAGGTAGATTTGAAATGAATTGTTCAACCAATTAGGAACACAACCAAAACAGGAGGTTGCGCTTTGCATGTATGTAATTAATAATTAATAAGCTACCATGAAAGAAACAATAGCAGAAAAGTCCAAGAATTTCAGAATTTCTCTTATAAATCACAGTTATATTGAGCATGGGTAAAGAAAATAAGATATAAGAGAAAAAAATACAAGAAATTTTCAGAATACCAACTTTTCGAAAGTGAAGATACAAGGACAATTAAGAAACAAGAGTTTTCAGAATACCACCTGGTAATATGTTTTTGTAATGATTTTCGTTGTTTTCATTGATCTATCCTTATCTTCAATGTTTATATCACCAGCTTCCTTAATAAATCAGGAACATGTTCTTGTACCGACGACAATTGGAGTGCAAATAGGTCAGACGATGGAATGTCAAATATGTGCACCATGTCTTGGAGGCGCAAGTCAATTTAATCAGAACAATAACACAGTTCCGCTGAAGCAATTAACAAAACCGGCGATGTAAACATCAAAGACGAGGATAGATTAATGAAAACAAACTGTCCAGAAATAGGTTCAAAAATGAAAACTCCTGCACTCCTTTCCTTTGGCAGAATATATGCAGTCTCCCAGCCAGGCTTGCTTTCTGATTGGTTTCAAACTCAAATTACATTTTGATTCCAAGATCAGCCATGAAGCTCTTAAGTTTTGTTGATACTGTTCCCAAGGCTCCAATGACTATAGAAATAACCCTTGTCTTCTCCTCCTTTTTTGTTGGTGTGAGAATGATGCCTGTTCTTCTTTCTTGTATCATGTTGTCTGTTGGGAAATTGAAATTGAAATTATTACTATGACTATTATTATTATTGTTGTTGTTGATGTTGTTGCTAGCTTTTTTTTTAAATTTTAATTTCGTCATCGCTTTAAATTAATATTACAGACTGGCTACACAGGTACTGAACCTTCCAATCCTGAATACAAAATCTTTAACGGTATTCATCATAGACTCATAGTCATCTTATCATTCTTTTAGCAATCATCTTTTATTAACCATTCAAATTCCACAGATGCACAGGAACTATATCTTCCTATCCTCACCAAACACTTCTACAAAGACCTACACTTCTACAAAGACCAATCCGAATTCCCCAACATCCTGAAGACAAAATCTTAAACGGTATTCGTCACCGTCATCTTATCATTCCTTTAGCAATCATTTTATTATTAACCATTCAAATTCCACAGATGCACAGGAAATGAATCTTCCTATCCTCACCAAACCCATTCACTTCTACAAAGACCAATTGGAAGCCCCTACTATCCTGCAGACAGCCAAGGCAAAGATCGTCGCTGCAGACTGCTACGTGGTTGTCTCTGGGGAGTACAACCACTCTATCCCACCAGGTCTCAGCAACCTCTTTGACTACTTCCCTGCGTCCATCTTCAGCTACAAGCCTTCGGGAATCGTCTGCTATTCCCCAGGTAAACAACTTGGCCCATATTCTACTAAATTCAGTTATATAAAACCTGATGCAACATTTAAGTCATGCTAAACAAAGCCTTTAGGAATTATCTGCTACTCCCCAGGTAATCAACTTGGCCCATATTCTACTAAATTCAGTTATAAAACCAGATGCAACATTTAAGTCATGCTGAACAAAGCCTTTAGGAATTGTCTGCTACTCCCCAGGTAATCAACTTGGCCCATATTCTACTAAATTCAGTTATAAAACCAGATGCAACATTTAAGTCATGCTGAACAAAGCCTTCAGGAATTGTCTTCTATTCCCCAGGTAAACTACTCAGCCCATGTTCTACAAAATTCAGTTATAGAACCCGATGCAACATTTAAGTCGTGCTGAACAAAGGGGTGGGTGCAGATATTTGTAGAATATGGACCATTGAGTTCTGTCTTCTATGAGATTTTGAGCCATGAGAGTCATACCTGTCTACAAAGGCCATAACCATGGGAAATACATGGTACATGTAGTATTGAAAGGTGGTCTTTGTAGGCAGGTACATGTAGGTTCAAGCCTTTTTTAAAGCCTTGAGGTTTTGTGATAGCTAGACTAATGATTTGTCAGGGTAGTTTTGTTTGTGTCACTCAATATGCAAGCGCGTACGTAGCCAGGATTTCATTTTAGAGGGGGGCGGTAGTGAGCACGCAAAGCGTGCGAATCACTTAAAGAGCGCGCAAAGCGCGCTCCCTAGGGGGGTGGGTGCAGGGAGGGGGGACCTCCCGCGCAAAGCGCGGAAGCTTTGAAAGAAGACGATTCGTTGTACCTTTCTCGACTCATAATCCTTGTCTGAATTCAGTCCCTCCCCTCTCTCGCGCGAAGCTTTGACATTTCATTAATTTATTAGAGAAAGAAGACGATTCGTTGTACCTCTCTCGACTCTTAATCCTTATCTGTATTCAGTCCCTCCCCTCTCTCACGCGAAGCTTTGACGTTTCATTAAATTATTAGAGAAATAAGACGATTCGTTGTACCTTTCTTGACTCTTAATCCTTGTCTGAATTCTGTTCCCCCCCCCCCTCTCGCGCGAAGCTTTGACGTTTCATTAAATTATTAGAGAAAGAAGATGATTCGTTGTTCCTTTCCCGACTCATATTTCTTAATTTGAACTTAGTTTCCCCCTTCCCGCGCGAAGCACGGAAGCTTTGACGATTCATTGTCTTGACTCCTTTTCCCTTTTTCTTCCTACGTCCTCTTTCTTTTTTTCCTTCTTATTCTCTCTCTTTTTTTTTTTTGGCCGGCGTTTTTTTTTTGGGGGGGGGCGACCGCCCCCACCGCCCCCCCTGGCTACGCGCCTGTCACTATGGGTCATGCTAAGAAGATCATGTGATATGATGAAATGTACTTTAAATTATCTCATCAGCAACTCACACAACTGATGAACAGTGTAAAACCTTTTTTAAATGTTAGATCTGTTTTTAATTTTGATCAAATTAGCCTTTACGGTGTAATTGTATATATTTTTGTCATTGTTTGACAAAGACTTAGCATGACAGGAAACTTTGTGCAAATAACAATTGCCTACATCCCCCCTCGAATATTTCACAAAGCTCAAGTATCGGTTCTGATAATTCATCACTTAGGAAACAGTAAAGGGTCAGAAATGGCAATCATCTATCAGTACTCCCAGCTGTTTCCACTTTGATTTAAATGGGTTTCAAAGACAAAAAGTACAATTAAATATTCTGGTAGTTAATTGCCTTGTCACTCATATATAAGTTACCATGGTTTCTTGGGAAATATGAGATTAAATCTTGCCTATACAAACATGGGGATAAGTGCTTTCACGTTGACGTAGAGAGAAGGTACATGTACCTACTTGAGTTTCCTATGGAGGATTATTATTGTTTACCATTCTGTCAATTATTTAGTGGATCAAGAATTTCCAACAGCATTAAAGATGTTTGCTATTTTATTGTATTTCTCCATCCAAAGTGTTTCTCTTTACAATGCATGCACTCATTCTCTTTTCCACCTTTTTTCTTTTTTCTTTTGTTTTGTTCTTCCATGTTATGGCTCTTGAGGCTTTTGTTATTTTTCTACTTTGGAATCAATCCTCTCATACTTTCATCCTTTCTCTCCTTCCACCCATTCCTTCCCCTCTTTCACCTCCACCTCCTCCTCCTCCTTCTCACCACTACCTCCTCTTTCTCTCTACCTCCTCCTCTCTACATCCGTTATTCTATTCCTGCAATTACTTCCTCTACCACCACTACCATCTCCTTCTTATCCTCCTCCACCTGCTGCTGCGGCTACCCCTCTCATCATCCTGTCCTCTGTTCCCTCACTTTCTCCCTGCATGTCTCCATCTTCTAATATCTCTCCCATTCTCTCATCCATACTACAGGTCAATATGGTGGTATGCGCAGCGCCATGCAGCTGAGAGCATTCCTGGGCGAGATGGGGTGCATCAGTGTCTCCAACATCTTCGGCATTCCCAAGGTTCATGAGGCTATCAGCGAAGAGGGGAAACCCCAGAATGAGCACATGGAGAAGGGGGCTGGGAAGCTACTCGTTCAGCTGGAGTGGATGGCACAAGCAATGAAGGCCCAACGTGAGAAGGCTGGCACCCCATGAGCCATGCTGCCTCTGCTTATTCACTGCATTTAACCTGGTTGGTTGTATTCTGGAAAGGAAAATTGTTTGGTTGTACAACACATGCTCCGGCGACAATAGCTCCCCAGTCAATTTCCCAGACTAATCAAATTCATTACTGCAGCCCTGGACCAAGCACTATACCTAATCCTGGCCTAGTCCTATATCCAACTCAAACCCAATCAGAACCCTGACCTGACCCCATATCTTTGATGAAGTTAAGCATGGAGCAATTGTCGCTGGAGCAAATGTCAGAACAACAATTTTTATGCCTCCGCCACCGTAGGTGGTGCCGGAGGCATCATGTTTTCGGGTTGTCCGTCCGTACGTCCGTCCGTACGTCCGTCCCGTTTGACCGTTATCACAATATCTCAAGAACCATTTAAGATTTAAACTTAAGACTCGGAAATAGTATTTATCACCATAGGAAGACGATCTGATTAGATTTTGGAGTACGTAGGTCAAAGGTCACAGGTCACAGAGGTCAACTTATGAAATTCCTTGTATTGAGTTTGTTAGCGCGATATCTCAAGAACCATTTGAGATTTAAACTTCAAACTTAAAGATAGTATGTATCACCATAGGAAGACGATCTGATTAGATTTTGGAGCACGTATGTCAAAGGTCAAGGGTCACAGAGGTCAACTTATGAAATTCCATACATTGAGATTGTTATCATGATATCTCAAGAACCACTGGAGATTTAAACTTCAAACTTAGTGATAGTGTGTATCACTATAGGAAAACAATCTGATTACATTTTGGAGCACGTAGGTCAAAGGTCAAGGGTCATAGAGGTCAACTTATGAAATTCCATACATTGAGATTGTTATCATGATATCTCAAGAACCACTGGAGATGTAAAAACTTCAAACTTAAGGATAGTATGTATCACCATAGGAAGACGATCTGATTAGATTTTGGAGCACGTAGGTCAAAGGTCAAGGGTCACAGAGGTCAACTTATGAAATTCCATACATTGAGATTGTTATCATAATATCTCAAGAACCACTGGAGATTTAAACTTCAAACTTAATGATAGTGTGTATCACCATAGGAAGACAATCTGATTAGATTTTGGAGCACATAGGTCAAAGGTCAAGGGTCACAGAGGTCAACTTATGAAATTCCATACATTGAGATTGTTATCATGATATCTCAAGAACCACTGGAGATTTAAACTCCAAACTTGTTTAAATTGCTCTATGGCGGAGGCATCATTTTCGACTGCACGCAGTCAAAATTCCATCTAGTTTAACCTGGGTTCTTGCTAAAAAAAATTAGGATAGAAAAAAAAAATGTTTTTAGTAGGTGGCAGATAGCTTTTGTGACTTGGATTTTAGGTGATGATCTGAAATAGTTACGTAATGATGTTATAAGCCAGCAAGAAATGACTTGATACGTGTAGGTGCCATACATTGATTGCTACGGTAACTGCCTATCCTACGGTAACTGCCTATCCTACGAATACTGATTCATTGAAATTAATGGAGGCATCATTGATCACTTTGCAGTGGTATAATACTAATAATAATGATAATATTAATGTAATAATAAAACTGCTTATAAAGCACTTTCCACCAAAGTCTCTATAAGCGCTATCGGGTATAGGGTTAACAAGATTAAAGGAAATACTTAGGCTTCTCAGATTTTTTAATGAGCAATGATTTGTTTCATTGGAATTTCAGAGAAGTTAATGAGCACATAGATATGTGCAATGTTAGTCTTATTTATTTACAAGTTAGTTCACTGAGCAGCTAAAACAACTTGCTTTCACCTTGTTAATCTTCACCAAGTTAATGATGTACTACTAGTGCTACTCATGAATATAAAAATGTGTTGCAACAAGATACTAGTGAACAGGGGTGGTACTCCTAACACCTATTTTTTTATTTTATTTCAGAAACATAGCATATCGAAATTATGATTCAACATTGGTTAATGACTGTGTCTAGGTGGCCGTGTATACGGAAGACATCGGAGCATTGTGATATTTAAATCCTATTATCAAAATTGAAGTTCACATTCAGAAGACAACCCCATGCATTGTATTGCCTCCATCTTGAGTCAAACATTGCCACAGAAAATCTTGTAAATTTCCAAAAAATTTAAGTGAAGAGTAAGGATGATTGAAAGAATGCCAATTTCAGTCATAAAAAAGTCTGATGGGAAATACATTATTAAAGATATGACCAAACAAAGGTTTAGATTTTTTTCAAAGTCATCACATTCCTTTCTTAAGTATTTATTGGTAAAAAATAGTATAAGGAAAACAACTTGACCTCATGCATGTCATCATGTTTGTTTAGAACAAATTATTTTCGAAAAAACAATTCCATTTGAAGAACTCAGGTACACAAACCATGCACAAGAAGATGCTAAGAGAAAGTTGTCGATTTTCTTCCCCTAAAAGATACTTTGCAATTAAAGAATCCTTCACTATGCACAAATATTAGTCGTACTGCCGAAAAGAGTTATGGAGGAAACTAAACATTCTGATCTTATATGTGGCCTTACAGGTGGTAATTCTGAAGTAAAAGCAAAGTAACTACTGTAAAATGTGTAACTATACCAGGGAGATGTTCTGTCATCTCCCTAACTATACTATGTAGCGGTCTTTCATATACCGGGTAGGTTGAGAATAAGAGGGTACAGTACATGTAGTTTGTACCCTTCAATTTTTAAATCAATCATATATATAACTTGTATCTTTCAAGAAGAAAAAATGATTGAAAGTGTGTCTTTGTATTATTATTATATCTATTTAAATACCGTAAATAATTTGTGCCATTTATTATATGTTTTTTTTTATTTACTTATTTGGGAACTTTTTTGTTTAAATACCTTAATAGTGACTAACTATCTACATGGATATATATATATATATCCATGCTAATATATATATATATCCATGCTAATATGTGTATCACGCTCTACAATAAGTTATCAGAAAAGATGCCTCATAAGTTCTAAATCTTTTTTATTTTGTTCTGTTATCATTTGAATCTCTGTGACTAAATTAAATACCGTAGCTTATATTTACATGACTTAGTTACAATTTTTTCCATTCAATTAACTCTACAACTCCTGCAAAGCTTATATTAAATCATGAATACAGCAGACGGAAGAATCGCTATTCTCTATTGCAGATATATATATACCTCTGTCTATATAATGGTTACCTTAGATGTATTTAAGTGCTATGTCACATAGAAAAAAGTGAATGCAATAATGTGTAATTTTGTACTACTTTTACCAATGTATTGTGATTTAGTTATATATAAATATAGTTTTTAGATTGTTCTATATTTCTATTGTATTGCTTTGTAATAAATTTCAAACAATTTCCTCAGTATTTGTGTAACCTGTAACTTGTGATGTTATAGACTTGAATTACAGGAGACCAATCACCAAATTACTTTCAAATAGACCCATTCAATACTGCTGCATTGTAATAAAATATAATAATAAATAATATGCTTGTTCTCATGGTCACCCCCTCCCCCCTCCCCACATTTGAAAACGCTCCTAGGTTCAAGAGAATAACGAAACAGAACCTAAAGGAAAGCATACAGAGAAAATTGTCTTTTAAAAATTGGCCCTGCAGTTTGATTTAAAAAATGTAGAGGCATGATTTTAACATGAAGATGCACCAATTACAGTTTCATCATTTGTGCATGAGAGTGCATATAATTGGATAAACAATTTGGTCACATGTAGGCCCATATATGCACAAACAAACATCAGCCATGAACTGACAAAATTCAGTATCTTATGGTTTAATCGTTTTAGCTCAGAAATTTTGTCAATTTGGAGGAAAATGTATTAGATTTATTAGAAATCTGAGTCATTTTTTATTAAGGATGAGATTCAGAGAAGCGATTCAGAGAGCCAAAGGGTAATAGGAAAGAAGAATAAGATTAAAAGGGATGATTAACAGATGGTATAAAAGCAAGACCAGAGAGAGAAAGAAAGTAGAATGAGAAAAAAAAATTAAAGACCAGAGAGAGAGAGACATAAAGAAAGTAGAATGAGAAATAGAGCTAGAGAACAGAGATGGAGAGATCTCAGAAAGCCCCACCCTGTTTGCTGATACCGCGTAGTCGATTTTCTACTCTGCACCTCTGGGATAAAGGCTCGCTCTCTCTTTACAAGAGTGTGATGCAAGGGGGCCGGGGGGTCCTGTAAGATGACATAAGAACAGACAACCTTGCATGTCTTGTTTTTTCTCTTCTAGTTGGAAGTGGGTTGTTGGAAGTATCCGCTTACACCTAGCTCTGCCCCCCCCCCCTTTCCTCCCCTCTCTCTCTCTCTCTCTCATACATACACACACACGCACACACATGCAGGGGCGTCGCTAGACCTTTTTCAGTGGGGGGGGGGTGTAGAGGCCAACGATTACCGACAAAACTATTAATCCATCTCTGAACGAACCCCCCCCCCCTTCGCGCAAAGCGCGGAAGCTTTGGCGTTCCATTAAATTATTATAGAGAAAGTAGACGATTCGTTGAACCGTGCTCGACTCTTAATCATTGTCTGAATTCAGTTTCATTAAATTCGTAGAGAGAAAAAGCAGACGATTCGGTGTACTGTTTACGACTCTTAATCCTTATCTGAATTCAGATCTCCCCCTCCCGCGCTAAGCGCGGAAGTTTTGACGTTTCATTAAATTATTAGGAAAAGAAGACGATTTATTGTACCGTTCTCGACTGTTAATTCCTGTCTGAACGATTTTTCCCCTCTCCTGCGCGAAGCGCGGAGGCTTTGGCGTTTCATTAAATTATTAGAGAAAGTAGACGATTCGTTGAACCGTGCTCGACTCTTAATTAATCCTTGTCTGTATTCAGTTTCTCCCCCTCCCGCGCAAAGCGCGGAAGTTTGACGTTCCATTAAATTATGAGAAAAAGCAGACGATTCAGTATACTCTTCTCGACCCTTAATTCAGTTCTTCCCCCTCCCGCGCGAAGCGCAGAAGTTTTGACGTTTCATTAAATTATTAGAGAAAGAAGAAGACGATTCGTTTCACCGTTCTCGACTCGTCTAAATGAAGTTTTCCCCTGCCGCGCGAAGCCCGGAATTTTTGGCGTTTCATCAAATTATGGAGAAATGAAGACGATTTCGTCGTACCATTGTTGAGTCTTAATCCTTGTTTGAATTTAGTTTCCCCGAAAATGTTAAACCTCTGACTTCTTTAGCTGATATTATAGGAAAGCGAAACTTCGAGAACATACAAGTTGAAGTCACTCTCGAAGTCGACACAGCGGATAAAAAGTAACAGTTCGTCGGTAAAAATCTTGTCGGCCGACCGACAATATATACATCTCACCGACTTAAAAGTTCTGCATTGATAGGGTACAAGAGGATCGAGCAAGAATACCGACACAGCTGACCCGACAGTCTTTCTTGCTCCCTTGACGAGACGACTCCACCCAACAACCCCCTCTCTCTTTTACTCCCATACTCCTCCTCTCTCAGGCTCTTACCTCCCCTTTCTCCTCTCTTTCATCGTTTCTTTTGTTTCCCTTTTCTCATTTTTCCTCTTTTTGTTTCCTTTCTTTCCTCCCCTCCCTCTTTTTCTTTTTTCTCTTTTTTTTTCTTCTCTTTTAATTCTTTCCTTTAATTCTTTTCCTTTCTTTCTTTTCTTTTCCTTTTCTTTTTACTTTTCTTTCCCTTTCTCTCTCTTTTTACGCGCAATTTTACCGACAATATCCTGACAGTGTCGCACCCCCCCCCCCCCCCCTTGGCGACGCCCCTGCACACAAGCCATACTTCGGGGTAAAATCAATCCAGGAAAGGGCATCAAAGTTTCCATCGTGCAAACTTTACTCTTTTGATGGGCATTGATGATGAACCCACCTACTGACCTACATAATTAATGTGCGCACGCGCTGTACATCCGGTTAGGCCACTAAGAAAATAGGTAAACAACATTTTGTGCGATCGTGAGAAAATAAATTTGAAAATTGAACAGCTGATTTGGACTTTCGGAAATGTCCCCCATCTCGATGTTGTGGGAAAAGTGCATTCCTTTGATTGCAAGGTAAGCTACCTCCATTGATTCTGTCCTACGAAGCTCAATATCACGCTTTTTAAAATAAGCTATAGCCTAGTACAAAGCCATGTAAATGTTATTTTATACCGAAAATGCTAGAATATTTTGACGGGGATGACTAGCCGTGCTGTGTGAGATGAGGCTAGCCTAGGCTACCGCTAGCGCTAGGGAGAAAGGCTGTGTGCCGAAGTGTGTATGTTGCATGCAGTACTAGTGTGGTTGACATTGAGCTGAGCTGAGCTTACCAGTGCAGCTGCAGTGCAGTGGCAGTGTCTCAGTCTAAATTATCTATATATTATGATGGGACCATTGTTTCAAAGTGAAAGGCTACTAAGTACTGCCTTTGAGTTTGACTAGATCTAGACTAGATTCTAGTCTATACTATAGGCCTATTGTCATTTAATTTTGTGTACTTTTAGGATTTCTTTTGTTTAGATCTAGATCTAGACTCTAGAGAGTACTAGAGTTCTACTAGATTCTATCTTGCATGGTGAACTGCATATTCTAAAGACAAAGTTGAATTCATGACCCTGATCATGTGACTGAAACATAATGTACGGTTTCAAGTCGTTCCCGAATCCCATGTAAAAGTTGATGGACAGAACATAACTCCACGTCCATATACACTTCACAAAAAAATGAATGCAAATCTTGATTTTGCGGCTGACTTAAATGTGAATTCACGTTGAATTCAAACTGATGATAATATGACAAGGAATAAAAACAAAAGATATTGGGGGGGGGGGGCGCATGCTCTATATTTTTGTTGGTCAGATAACGTCTGTGTATAAAATAGCCTAGCTTAAAAGCATTTACTGAATGCATTTCTAATTCTGCCTTGAGAGGTTCCTCTTTTTTCTGTGGATTAATTGTCTCGGCCTGTATGTTTTACAATTCTGGATCAAAGAATTCAATGCACCTGGATGAACCCATTGAAAAGTGTCCAGTCTGAAAGGATAAGATTTAACAATTAAGATATATTTATTTCTTTCCACTGACATGAAAACATCACATTTATAAACATGCAGTGACAAAAGATACGTTCATCCTCAACAAGAATAAATTCATGAACGATATTAAACAAGAAAGTCAACAATGACATGAAAATGTTGAAAAAGGGGTGAAAAAGAGTGGAAGAGGTGAAAAGATGTGGAAAAGAGGATATTATATTAGTTTATCCATCCAAATGTTCATTCCCAGTTAAGTAAGCTAACTTGTAGAGCTCCATCTCCTCAATTTTACACTTCACTTTGTTACTGGGATTCCTTTGTTACCAACCAAGGCAATGGAGATGAGTTCCATCAAAATGGTATGACTGGGAATGGGGTATATATTGCCTCATTGGATACTTGATTATGAACATACAGAACCAGTGGTAATACTGCTCTATTCATTGTCCTTGAATGTACATGTAGCATGGTAATCAGTTAGACTAGAGCCTATAGGTTGATATGCAAATGTTTGCTGTACGTCTTATTCTAATGTGAAAATGTTACATGCAAATGAGCAATGTAGGCTAGCATACAGTACTCCTATTGCCTTTGTATTACTTACACTGTATAATCCTCCAAACTCAACGGTTACATCCTTTGTTCCTCTTTATTCACACACCTGCCCATACTACAAGATAAAGCAGTCTATAGTGAAGGCTTGTGATCAATAGTAAGACCTCTAGCTGTGGGCCTTTGTTCTTTTTGTGCTTTGAAATATTACATGTAGTTTGTGGCCTTGTGCTTTATGAATGAAAGTCAATTTTGATCTACAAATAAGGTAAAAGGAACTGTTGGCTGTGTGTTTTATTTTTCCAATGGTAACTACAGTACATGTACAGTATGTATATTATTTTCAGGTAATTTTGAATTTTTATATTTTGCATTGTTTGGAATTTGTTTCCAGAGAGAGGTACATGTAGAGAACAATGTGATGGTTGAGGCATAGAATACCAAAGTGCTAACGTCATACTCCCTCATTGTTCAGGTTGCTGGTTCCAAACAACAGAACATTTAATGGTATGAGGTTCACTCCGAAATTGTTCAAGCGACAGGCTAGAGCAGTGCAAATTCAGTGTTTGGTGCTGTTGTGCATGCTCATGCACCATGCCATTATTTAGCACAACATTGTTTGGAACCATCAACCTTGACAACTTAGCTAGTATGACGTGACTTTGACGTCAATCTTTGTACTCTATTGAAGGCAACTTGGACTTGGATCTTCATGTGGTAGTTCTCTAGTGTCTTGTTTGTTGTACCCTTCTATATTCACATGTTATAATTTATTTCATACAAGAGAATGGTATGGATGGGGGTTATAGATGTACATGTATTTCATAGTCTGATCTACTATTATGCAGCTAATAATCATGTACTGTACCCTATCTGCACTCTGACAATTGAAATACCAGTACCGGTAGGCTACCCATAAGTCGTAACAGGTCACTAGACACTTACAAACATGCAACAAATAAACAAGTCTATGCTTTGAATTTGAACGCATATAAGTCTATGCATTGAATTTGAATGCATATGCCTGTTAAACTGGAGGTAAACAAATTAATCAATATTTTGATCTCCACAAATATTAATCATAGTGTGTTGATTCCATTCCAAATTGCTACTGTCGCCCCTCTACTCTTTTTTCTTACAAAATGGAAATATTTGTGTGCTGTTGTACTTGTAACCATGTATAATGTATATATACAAAACTGTAGGCTAACAGGAGTCTCTATCAAATGTACCTCTTGAGGCCCTCTTGTATTCACATGCAGTCATCCAATGAAGAGATCTCCTCTTTTTTCAAGAGGAGGTGATATAATCAGACATCATGAGACCTCTCTATATGTTTGTGTAGATACACGTATATACATGCATATATCAGGGAGATGTGAGTTTAAACTCACACCTCCCTGTATATAGCAAAGCACTTTTTTAGACATAGAATTGCAAGCTAAAATGCATTTGTAAACCAGAGTTTTCTCTTACTAGTCAAAATCTACATGTAAGTTGATCAATAGCAGGAAATAACATGACAAAGTAGTATACCGTAAGCAACTAAGCAATGACTATGGATTTAACACTGTTGAGTAACTGTTTTGCTTGCAGTGAACCCTGTTAGTTTTCTTTTGTTTACTTTAGATTGAAGGGTTGTCTGATCTCTCTTTTGTTTTCTCTCCCATCCAGGAAATGAATTATTTTGTTGCTGGCTACCAGCATCATATACTGTATATGAAGTGGTACTACAGAGGTGCTGCTTAAACTCAGTTTCACTGTGCTTGCTGTGAATTAAGGGTTCTAAAGTTCTAGTTCACTTTGAAGGCATACAATGATGAGCTTGCAGGTCATCATTGACCCACATTTAAGCAGTCTGTCTACGCGTACATGTATCAAGCATGAGGCCCTTGATATGTCCAAGGAATAAATTAACACCTACAGTACAAGCTTCACAAAAGTGTAATCAGATCTACTTGAAGCTGTGCAGATGAAATACATTTACTATGAGAATTTGAAAAGCAGTGCTCTAAGTATGCACTAGGCGTCTTCAATTGAATACAGAGCAGTCTGTTTGCATGAGGTACATGTTATCATCAAGAGGATCTCTGGCTTGTTTAGATACACAGTGATATCATCATGGATTGATCTCCAGTGAAGGCTATACCGGAACATGAATGTACAATTTGATGTTGCTAGACTACAGATCGATGTACACCATGGAATCCCAGACCAAGCCCATTTAGTGTGGATAGAGTATTTAATATTTGCATTTAGTATTCGAGCCATCTGCAGCTGTTGATGTGAGCGCGTGAAGTATATAAACTTTTTCAAGAGACATTACGAGTCAAAGACAGGAGTGAACTATTGTCTAGGGTGTTGGGGTTACTATGGCGACCAGCGGTAACCAGAAGATGCCTGTTCGTGACAACCTCAATGACGCCATCTCTCATTTTCAACAACAGGTAAGGACCAGTATATACTTTCTTCTGGAAAGAAGAAGGAATATTTTTTTAAACTTCCACAATCCACATGTGTAATTAATTTGTCATCATTCAATAATTGTTTAAATGGTTAGGATAAAAATAAAGTTAAAAGCGAAAAAGACATATCCATGAAATATCAAATGTGTAAATTTTTCCAATGTAAATTATTTCATGTTTAATATTGACCTAATATCGGAAATACGGTTCTGTAGTTCTGATAATGTGAGGCAAAATACAATCAGATACTCATAACTCATGTACAGTTGTCATTTTACAGGAATATAATTTCTGATACATCTTTTTTTCTTCCAAGATCTTTAGAACATTTGTATTCATGTATAATTGCACCACAAAACAAAGAGACTTTTCCTAAGAATGTGTGAAACGGTCATTCTCATAATGTAAAATGTATATACATACTGTACATTGGGTCAAAAATTGTTTTGTCGGCTGAAATAATTAAGTAATTTGTGACTAGCTAGAAGAAAATATTAAAGATAAATTTGTATTATTAATTAGATACAATTTCAAATATAGAATATTTAAATTAATATGTATGAATAACATATCTTTAATAATTTGTTGTTATTCAATTCAAAGATTGGTGCTTATGACAAGGAACTATGGGAGGAACATGTAGAACAGAAGGAATCACAGGTAAGAGAAATGAGTCAGATGTAACTTTGTCCATCAACTGCCGAGTCATTAAATTGTGCATTAAATACTTAGCTCTTGAAGTTGGCATCTTTCATCAAATTGTAGTTTAATACAAGAATCCTTTTTAACTTGCATTGTATAAATACATGTACATGTATTTATGAATTCTAAAGATAAGATGCGATTGAATCGTTGGAATCAGTGAAGAGAAGAGTTATTTGGAGCACAGGATCAATCATGAGAATTTCTGTTCAAGCTTTTAATTCTCTCATAAGATACTCTCATTCAGTGATGTGTATTGCTTTAGTAAAGTATTGTTGCTTGGATCAGGATGAGTGTGGACTGAGGAAGTACATGTATGTTTGTTTTTACCATGTTGAAACTGAAACCATTTTAACTGAATGAGTTTCATGCTTTTAGGATTTTCAGATTTTTATTTTATTTTATTTGAATACTCCACAGGAATTGTGTCCGAATATTTTATCTAAAATGTATGAATCATGTCCATACATGCATTTCCTATATTTGAATACTGGTAGGTCAATTTGATCTAAATGTATGAATCTTGTTCATATTTCCTGTTTTTGAATAGTTCAATGCATTATGCTTGGAAACTGAGATGCTACTACACAGCATTTTACATGATACCCGTGAGCAGAACTTATGTATCAAAAGCATTGAGACATCACTACATGTACATCACTTGAATGCACTATGCATGTTTCAAGAATCGCAAATCACTTGTAAATCTTTTATATATCATCGCAATTTCTTATGTTTTGTAGGGTCTTGGAGTGGATACCAGTGGTGCCCAGCTGAAGACTGGCAGAGTCAAAACAGAGTTGATTGATGTTGATTTAGTGAGAGGTAATTATTTATTCATTTACCCCATTGGTAAACATGTATGATGATGAATATGAACATTTTTTATTATAGTTTTCTGCTTAATTAGCTACTGTAAGATAGTCTCTCATAGACCAGATGATTGATTAAATCATGACAATAACTAGAATTATGCAACTCACTCTCTCTCTCTGATCCCAATCAAAAGATTGGTCAAATGCGGTCACATGTGATTCATTTAATATTGATACTATCCCACATTTTTTCATGAAAAAGCATGCAACAATTTTTGAATACGATATGGGCAGCATGCAATGCATCTAGAGGTAAGTGTGCTATCTCTGTATGCACGCTAAAGTAAGCCTATTGAACTTGCGAATCATTGGTTAGCAATAACGCAGAAAATAGTCTTGAAATTAATTCTTTTTACATTTATTAACAAGGATCTAGGAATTTTTTCGTATAAAATGAAAGATGCATTTTTTAGTCTACTCCTGTTAAGTCTGTTTATGCACTTATTGTAAATTCTCCACCATCATTCTGCACAGTCACTCTTAGTACTGTAGATGACTAGAGACAAACTAATGCTGTAATGATGATAATGATATGTCTTGTTTACTCAGGGTAGTAGACTCGTCAGTATCAATACTGTTCACCCTGAGGGCCCTGCAATCATATTATTAATACCTCGGCTGAAGTTCTATGGCTAGTTATTAATGCTCTATATGATTGGTTTCATTTTTTCATTAGGTTCAACGTTTACCAAAGCCAAACCAGATCATGCCTGGCTTGCCACAACATGGAAGGGTCTCCTTCGAGTCTTCTTCTTTCCTTTCTATTTCACATGGTAAGATTGGCAGAAACATCTTTGATGATGGGGAAGTCCTTTGTACAGTCAAACCTGCTTTAGTGACCACCTGTCTACAAAGACCACATTTTTTGTTTCCCTTGTGCGGTCGCCATAAAAAGGTTTGAGTGTGTTAGATAGAACAGGGACATGTTATTTGAAAACGGTTTCTCATTGAAACATGTACTAAAGGAACCCATCTACAAAGACCACCCGTCTACATAGACCACTTTGTATGTTTCCCTTGGGCGGTCGCTTTATACAGGTTTGAGTGTATTACTAGATAGAACAGGGATATGTTATTTCTTCGTTCATCCTTTACTGTCTTCTATTTTTCATTCCTTTTTATATTTCCTCTTTCTAACTTGTTCATCCATTTCTTTCGTTTTCTACTTTTGTATTGGGTACATGGAAAAATGGGAATATTTAAAATCATGTACAAATATAGATGTGTTTCTTGTGTAAATAACAAAGTCCAATAGTATTTGTTTACCAGTATTGCCCCTAACATGCCATGCCACAAGGGCAAACTTTGTCCAACAATTTGAATACACATGTATTATACAATGCCGTTTCATTAAAGAATGTCTAGATTTAACTCCTGGAATATAAATTGCATATGTATTGTGAAGATTACTCATAAAGAAAAAAACAATTTCTACTCTATTTAACAGTGACAGAAAGCATTATGCTAAAGAAAATGACCGATTAAGAATAGTGTATGTTATCTTTTGTAAACCTGGGAGCACAGAATGAAACATCAAGCTTGTGCCAACCAAGGGGAGCAGAAAAAGTGGCTACTGTAAATGTGGCCTTTCTAGACAGGTTCTAAAACACACATTTCTTTCTCAAGGGAGACAAAATACTTTGCCACTATAGACAGGTGGTCTTTATATAGAGGTATCCACTAAGGTTTGACTGCATTTGCCTTGTTACATATACTTGCTTGGGGCTTTATTTCATATAAGATATAGGCTATTTCAGGGTTAGGGATCTATGATCCATGTGTTTTTTTTTAAAGAATAAGAATTTGCTACCGCCTCTAGTGTGAATCTTAAATCATATCACCCCAAAAAAGTTAGCAAAAAATAAACAAATTATGTACATTCAATGTTTATGAACTGGTTATAAGATGTATGTGTCTCTTTATTGCACAGGTGGAGGCAACAGTTATCAGCAAGCACATTCTATTCAACGCTATTCCTCTACTTTCTACAACTTGTGTGTGTAGCAATTTTCTATGTTTTTCAACCAAGCACGGAGCACCAGGTAAGAGCTAGCTCATCTAGTTTATCACTTGACTTTATTACCTGTACTTACCTTTATTGTTTGGCCTACCCTGTTTTCATGTACGTTTTTCAAGACTTTATTAATACAATTGTGGGACTGTTTCAATTTCATATTTATGTTTGTGATGGTCAGAACATCGATCAGCCCACAGTCACTTTCAGAACTAAATAGAATTTTTAATATGCCATAGATCGTAGGATATCCTATAATTTGTAGCCTTTACTCAGTGTCATGCATTTAATAAGTTTGGGTGATTTTTGTTCAAGTTCAGTTCAAGTTCAAGTTTATTTTCCACATGTGGTTCATAAAAAAACAAGTATACATACATGTTCAGACATATAAAAAATGCAAAGTAACACAAAATTAACAAACAATAATATTAAGAGAAAAAGTAGCAAACCAAATCTAATGTCCTAAACACAGAACAACTAATAACATGTAGATATTGTTGAAAAACATGTGGGGAGACCAGCAAAGGCCAGGGGCTTGAGGCTAATCCCCAGTACAATAATAAATATTTTGGATATTTTATATATATAAAAAAACTAAAAAACAAAAACCCACAACAGTATGATAGTCATAAAAGCAACGTACAGTACATGACAAAACAAAATCAAGTTGGCAAATTGTATCATTGTATAACAGTCCTTGTTTGATTTCTTATGGTTTTGCAGGCAATCTATGCGTTTGAAATCATTGGTCCCATCCTATTGATGCTGGTGCTGGGTACCACATATACTCAGGTTGTCTCTACAAATGCCAAGACAAAGTCTTTGTTAAGAAGGTCATCTAGAAGAAAGTAAGTGATGCATGTATGTTTATGTGCCCTAACATGCTGTGCAGCAAATGTAACCTTTCATTTTTGGTAGTGTTGTACAATTAATTAGTAAGAAAAAAAGTTCATTCCAGGTATTTTTGGAAATACAGGATAAAAAACAAGAGAATACAGAAGATCCAAAATCATATTTTCCTTGCTAATTTTGAATGGCTTATTCGTACATTTTCATAATAAGATTTGTGCACAATGCAACTCCTTTTCTCTCAAGAGATATCAGTCCTGATTTTATTATGTGATTTTAAGATATCGTGCAGTTTTGGAAACAAAGTGGGAAATATTGTGTGGAGACTATTTAAAACAAAATTGAAGTATATTGATGTCCTCTGTATTTCCTTTTCTCTATCTAAAAGCTTGCATCGATCACACAGTTCACACGCAAAGGGTAGCAGCAGTAAAACAGCCATAAACCGAACATCACCCAAAAAGACAAGGGAGAGTCGTGACAGAGCGAAGGCTACTTCACCCAAACGAAAACCAACACAGAAAACTGTGCGTGGGTCCAAAGACAGCAGTCCTTCTCCCAACTCAGACAGTGCAGACAACGGCACATCCAATGTCGTTGAAAAGTTGAACCTGTTGAGCGGTGTGGTTCTACAGAATGAGGAAAACACAGAGAAGGAAGATAAGGATGGTCATACTGAGTACGTTCCATTGGAGGACGGGGAGGAGATATCTGGATGTGCCGATGAGGCTTTCACTCTTCTCAACACCCCCGTGGGTGAAATGGAAGTGGCCGGAGATCTGGTGTGTGTGGAGGGCCTGACCAGTGAATCAGGGGGATCCCCTACCTCCATGTTGGATAGAGAACTAGAGAGTATCATCAAGGCATCACACAGGTAGATAGTAGGGACTTTTAGATTCTGCACGACGAGAAAGTGGACTGCCCTTTTAAGGCAATGTGACGTCCTTTTAAGGCACTGGAAGTGACGTCACATCGCCTTTAAAGGGCAGTCCGCGTTCTCGTTGTGCAGAATCTAAAAGTCCCTAGTCTTGAGTCGCGCTGAACCCCATAGTCCTGTTTCTGCACTATGGGTGTTATGGAGTAGAATACACAAAGAATGATGCATAAATCACACCTACGATAAAAGGCTGTATGGAATGTATTACTGATCCCTGCATATGGTGCTGTTGACGTAATTAGATGATTAGATAGATCGAGCTCCCAGTAGTTCTGCACTATTTTCAACTTTGATATGGCCACTAATCTAAAGTTTCAAAGATATATGGGACAGCAAGTGCAAAGATAAGAGGATAGGACTGTTTATAGGTTTGTGAAGTATGTTTCAACACCCAAGTGTGTAAGTATAAAATATCTTTATTTTGGAAGGGACAGTGAATGGTATTTTTCTTCACAATAATCAATCATTCGTTCAATTAAGTAGTGAAAAATGGTTTCTTAAAATTCCTCAATAGCTACATGTATGTCAATAAGATTTTAAGCAGTTGATACTCTCTTCTTTTTTTCAATAGCGTGGCCCTAGAAATGGTCTTTTATTTGAGGAATGCCTGAATACTATGCTTTCAAAGAGTAGGTTTATCTTATCATCCAGGTTTACATGTTTGGATATCTCATTTTCTCAGACAAAATCACACTACAGAAGCATACAGCAGGAGGCGGCAGAAAGAATCCCTCTCTCCCAAAAGCCTGGCACAGAAGCCTAGCAACGGTCCCTTGAACAAGGCTCCTAGATCATGTCTCTCATCTAGAGATCTCAGAGAATCCAGAAAGAATAGATTGACAAGAGTATCAATACTAGGTGAGTGATGTTTATATGAAGTACATGTACATGTACAGTATGACAAAGGGAAGGGGTAAATTTGTTGGAGGGAAGGAGGGGTAAATTTGAAGCCCCGTTCATACATAAACATACTAATATTCAAAATTGTCATGCACAACTTTAATGACTATATGATGAGATAATCCTCCTATTTCCAATCTATATTTTGAATTTGGGTATAACAAATATAAGAAGAATATAATTAGATTGTCATGACCAAAACAAATCTCTTTAATGAAACTGAAAGAAGCCTGCATTCTAAGCAAAGAGAGTTAATAGGATAATCTGAAGTGAGACACACATCTACTCAAATGAACCAAAGGTAGTACAAAGACACCTTCATATATTGGCCACTCGAGAGAGACGAGGAGACTTAAGTGGTCTTTATAAGTAGGTGATATTTGTATACATATTCGTATAAGATATGTTTCAATGTAAACCACTACTTGATGGGATGCAATGCCTTTTTAGAGAGATGCTCTGTCCATTCAGTTAGTCACTAGGAGGCGCGATAGCTCAGTCGGTAGAGCAGTGGTCTCGTAATCCGGTGACCCGGGTTCGAAACCAAGACGATGCGCTAGTGCCCTTTGCCCTCATTACCAGGTCCCTCGGAGAGGACCTTAAGCCGTCAGTCCTCTGGTTGCTTACTAACAAGCATTTATACTGTCTTAGCAGTCGGGTAAAATAACCACCACTACTACTACTAAAGCATGCATGACTGTACATCGTGTAAAATTGATAAAATAAAACTTTTGGTTTTCTTCAGAAAATGCAAGAAAGTTTTCACCAGTTGAAGAGGAGAGCCCACAGGAGATCCTGCAGCACATGTCGGACAGCGAGGGGACACCTTCAGACAGCACCCCAGCCAGCCTGACCCTGGAACAGGACCCCCTACCCCACCCCAAGGGGACGAGGACTGCTTCTAGGAAGGGTCGAAGGTCAAGGGTGAAAAAGCCGGATGGGTCACAGGATTCAGAAGGGGATACCTCACCAGATATGAGGATGGAAAGCGAGGTAAGGAGAGGAAATTCATTGAGGGAGGCGCGATAGCTCAGTCGGTAGAGCAGTGGCCTCGTAATCCGGAGACCCGGGTTCAAAACCAAGTCGATGCGCTAGTGCCCTTTGGTAAGGCATTAAATCCTCATTACCAGGCCCGTCGGAGAGGACTTAAAGCAGTCGTTCTGGTTGCTTACTAACAAGCATTTATGCTTTCTTAGCAGTCAGGTAAAATAAACACCACCACCACTATATGTCCCAGAAGATGCTGAAAATCTTGCTACATTTTAATGGCTTTTTGTGTGAAGTTTAGTGGTGATTAGGAGTTTGGTAGTTCCAGAGAAGTTAGAGCACCAAATTCCACATCATTTGCAGCTTGCTTCCGTTGAAGATATCCAAGTTATTAATGTTGAAATACATTGTGATATTGGTCATCTCATTATATGGATATCAACAACCTTCACAATGTTGATGACTTGTAATTCACCTTGCAAAGATTTGACTAGGAAAGCAAAACTAAGCATTGTGTTATTTTAAACAAGACAACCAGATGGCCTAAAACACTTTTCATCTTATCATCTTGCATCATTTGAAAACCTCATAAGCTCAACTTGTAAAACACAAAGTCAGGTGCATGTTTATGCAATAACTGTGTCCATTATATTCACTAAAGTATGTAGGTATTGTAAACAATTTTAATTGTTTCCAAGATGCCAAATGTCATCTTTAATCAACTGATAACCTTTTCCCCGTAGCAATACTTCCAGCCGATATCCCGACCACTTGACTCTGACCTAGATGAAGCCAGCTGGGAGGAGACTGGAGCAGATGGCTCCAGCTTCAGCAGCGACTCTGCCAACTCCTCTGATACCGGCTCCTCCACCTCGGAGGAAGGAGACGAGGAGGAGGCGGCGAGGGAGCAGGAGTGGGATGGAAGGGGAACGGGAGCAGCGCTTCACTTCGAGGATCCCTTCAAGCTGATACACAGTGCGGTCAGCTCCAGTAGTATCTCTAGCAGCGGAATCAAAAAGGGTAAAGGAGCAGTGATATGCATTCCATTGATGTCCTTCAGTATTAATACAAAACAAAAAACAAAATCTTCTTATATGATCAATGTTAGATCGTTTTTACACCCATGCATTAACTTTACCTTCTAGAATATTGATACATACTAAAAATACTACTTAGTCTCTTTAGGTCTTGACAAAAGACTGTCGATGGCATTAAAGTTTTCCTCTAAACTCTTTCCAGAAAATTTTCATAAAAAAAAAATAATCTTTGGAAGTTCAAAAACATTGAAACCCTCTTTGTGCATGAGAAAATAAATGCAGAAGTTTATCAGTAGTAAATTATATTAAAAGGGGTGACTTTGGGGAGAGGGGTCTAAATGATACCACCTCCAAGTTTTGTTATATTTTCTGGAGAAACATGTCATCCTGTATCAGTTATTTATTGGTTTAAACCTTTCTCTTAAAATTAAAAGAAACCTGTATGTTAACTGCTATGACAGCACTTAGTGCACGATTCTTTTTAGGTCATAACATGTATCTAAATGACCCAATTCTGTGACATTTTCTCTCTCTGCAGTTCGTGTACGTATCTTTGAAGACAACGTGTGTAAGAAGACAGACATGACTGTTCTTCAGATCAGTTGTGCAATCAATACCAAGGTTCATTCCATACAGGCCAGCACTGACTACATCAAGCTGGGCTTCTTGTGTTCTTTCATTCTTGCCATTATACCATTCACATACAGGTAAATAAATAAAGATTTTTTTTTAATTTTTGTTTTATTTATTTATTTATTTATTTATTTTTTATTTTATTTTTTTTTATTTATTCATTTTTTTTTTTTTTTTTTTTTTTTTTGGGGGGGGGGGGGGGAGGGTAGGGGGGAAAAGGGGGTTAGCGAAGGAAAGACAGAAGACACTCTCACACATCAGCTCCCATACACTTACTAGGATTACTTTACCTACTCCACTATGAGTACAAATCAATTTGATTGATTTAAAAGAGTTTCAGGTTCTTGATAGATGCTGTAACATCATAAGGGTGGGTGACATTACTCATTCAGGCAATTCAAGGCATTGGTTATCTAGTGGCGTGATGTATATCTCTACCTGCTCAAATATACATGTACTTGAATGAAATCCATGTATATTATGTTGCCATTACAAGCTTTGATCTTGCTATGGGCCAATTCCACAGTATCTAATTGACACAAAAGCACTTCTCCACGTTTGTATATGCTTATTAGAAATACAAGATGACTGTACAAACAAAAAAATCATTACAGTTGAACAGCCATCAATTTAAATTATTAACGTATTTTTATGTTCATAGCTCCGATGTTTTAGTTATGATTATTATCTAAATAACAACATGACCTGTTGAATTAAGTTCTTGACTCCATCTATGACTTTCTTTTTGTTGTTGTAGGATTCACATAACCCACCACCAAGGAGACAGTCAGGTTACATGGTTCTCTCCTGAGCTTCCAATGATGGCCGTAGATACATTATCCCACATGCACTGGGCTTCTATCGCTGTCATGGTATTTACATCGTTTGAGAGGTTCTACCTGAGCTCACTCCTCTTCTTTCTCCTCGCCGTAGCGGAAAGAACGTATAAGCAGGTATCGTCAGAGATTTCTTCTTACTGATTGAAATTATTAGAGTATGGTCAAAGTCTCTTGCCAGGCCTGATAAATACCTGATTTAAATCAGTTTCCCCAAGTATTTTTTCCTTCCCGATATTCCCCTTATATTCTCTATTTTTCACTATTTTCCCTATTTTTCCCTATTTTATCCTATTTTTTCCCAATTTTCTTACTCAAAAGGGGGGGGGGGGGGGATGTTGTTAGATGCCATTCCCCCCCACCCAAATCCTCTTTTCCTCAAGGGGGGGGGGGGGGGGCGTGGTTGATGGGTGGGGGGGACTTTTTTTCTTTTAGTGCTCATCTTCACCCCTGCTCTTGCACTTCCATGTACCACCTCCGTATAATGGTCACCTCTTCAGAACTGTTCCTTCAAGTGAAGATATGTTGTAGAACCTGTAATCAAGGTATTGGAAGATGATTACACGATGAAGAAAAGTACATTGTAATTAATGGAGGATAGCTGTTACCCTTTTGATGGCCTTTGGTGACAGTTTGAATGAATGAAATTTGAAAATGTACCTTTCTGTATGAAAATAAACGTTTTTAAGTGTCTAGGTCAGGCATCCGATGAGCAGCTAAGTCATATATATGAATGATCATATACAGTTAACAACTAAATTATTCATACCCTTTCCAAGTTATGTCATTTTGTTAGTATGTGAAAAACTGATTTGTCTCAAATGATCATTCTTGAGAATGTGACATATTAAAGCTTACATCTAAAAGTATTCAACAAAGGCTCTAATGCAAGTCGACCTTTCATTTTTAAGTTACGAAAAAAAAAAAAAAAAAAAAAAAAAAAAAATCAAATTTACAAGGGGTATGAAGAATGTAGTTGTTAACTGTACATTTATGTCATTAGGTACTAATATAGGGCCATTGTGGAACATATTTCTTGAGATGGCTATGGGGCTTGGATAGATAATCACTATCCTCAAGCATGGCTTCGAATGTGCTTCCATGGTTCCATACGCTAACCATTCTATTTGTTTTTGTCTTTCCTCTTAGCGCTGTCTCTTTGCAAAGTATTTCTCGCACCTGACATCAGCTCGTAGATCAAGACAATCATCCCTTCCTCACTTCAGACTAGACAGAGTTAGTAACATCAAGGCATGGCTCTCTCTCAGATCCTTTCTTAAGGTAAGTTACTCTCTAGTTTAGGAATAAGTTTTCTTTTCCTTAGAATTTACTTAGCTAATTAATTTGTCTTCTTGTATTCTGTATCTGTATACTTGTATTCAGATCATATATGAGCATATTACTTAAGCAAGTCAACCATAAAGCAGAATTCTTACTGATAAGATTTATGACGTCAAATTATGAGCAATTAATGCATGCTCTTATAATTGTGCGCAGCTTAAGATAGCAACGCATGATAACCATATACCTTCCAATCAAGGCCTCAACAATAATTGGCTTAAGTTTGCTAGGGAGCTGTCTTAGACTTAAATACTCAGCCAAAAGCTTCATCTGAATACCAAAGTTGGCTAAGTATTTTATCTAAACCCAAAACTGAGTAAAATATTGATATTTCTGACAGAAGTATTGAAGTGAATACAGTCCAAGGATAGTCATTTAATTGTCATTACTTGTATTAATTCTCAGCTTGTAACTCTGGTGTCTGTATCAGGAGTCTAGATTATTTATAGAATACAAGCAAATCTTTAATGAGATGGCAAATAGCTCATGTCCAGGAATTTTGTTGTGAAAATTGAATAAATGTTGGTTTGTACTAGGGAAATCCATTATTTTAGCTAATAAAACAAATCAATTATGCTGCCATGTATGGGAAATGCTAATTACTACCCAGGTCACTGGAATTATGTTGTATTCAGTTCAAAATTATGAATGGAAGAAATGTACATTTCCTGTATGACGAGAGTCTCTGCAGAAAGTTTATTTTATGAGGTTTTTCTCTCTCTCTCTTTCTCTTTCCCTCTCTCTTTCTCTCTCTCTCTTACTCTCTGTGACAGAAACGAGGTCCCCAGCGATCAGTGAATGTCATAGTATCATCGGCTTGTCTCCTCACTCTCATGTTGGTCTCTATTCTGTGTACAGAGGTAAGCATACACTCTCACAAAGTTGACTAATTTCATCTGTTTATTTACATCAGTGTAGATGCATGGTAGTGGGTTTTCATGGGGAATTAGACACCATTCAGATGTTTACCCAATAACAGATATTTTCAATTACCAGGATTAATCTTCATTTTAATGACAAACAGGCTTAATGTAATGCTCTGCATTTTCTGCCCTTCCCCCATATGGGAAAGTCATTATCTCACTTTTCCCCTCACCTGACGACTCTCCGAGGGGGTATTTCTAAATTGGGACTATGGGTTTGCTGTGTGCAGACTTGTACACCCATTAATGGTATTTCCACCAAGTCAGGTGTCAGTGACTTATGACTTTCTGCCCATGGAAACTGTTGTTGTTTTGTATTATGTCTTAAGGCAATTGAGTCAAAATTGACTATTTATGCCTTAAAAACTAATGACCATCTCCCTTTAAATGATGCCAGTTTTCTCCTGCCTTGCTCCAAGTAAAGGATTTCATATACTCAAGGCTTCAGACAAAATTGCAAGTAGAATATCATGGCTACGAAGTGTGAATCAAATCAGAGCTTTTGGTTCTGACCATTTCATTTCAAATTTATCATTTAATTAAATGCATGCATAAGATCCAAATGGCTATGAAAAAATCCTGAATTTAGGGAAAGTTGCAACAAGGTCATGTTTAATCAAAGAAATCAAAGAAATAGGAAAATCAGAGGATTAGGCTTTGTTGATGAGAAAGCGCAAAATATTTTGTGAGATGTGATATGTGGTGTCCGGTACAAAGTTCTTAATGAATATAATATAATGAAAGAGTAAATCATTTGAAATAGAATTGCCATTTTTGAGGCATCCTATAGAAGGAATCACTGAATACGAATACAGATTGAAATTTTGTACACTTGATACAACATCATCATCAAACTATAGCTGATTTAAGAGAGAAATGGGGTCATGTAGCATGCCTAGTACTTTTGATTGACAGCTTGTATATTACACAGGAAATACCTTGAGTGTGAAATTCACACTTTAAGTATTTGTAACAATAGTAAACTGTGTGATATGTACATTGCTGGAATGAAGAAATCTAAATGAAATCAGCATGGGAGTAATTTCTTGGCTCAAATTTGTCAACAAAGAGGAATGTGTAATTGACAATACATCTGCCAGCTGACAGAAAAAAGTCTAAAGTAATAGGCGGTGGCACACAGAGTCCCAAAATCCAGATTTTAGTTATCCTCTTTTTGGCTGTCTGTCATCAATTATCCCTTCAAAAATCCTCTAAGAAGCAAGAAAATCTTCCCTTGAAAGGATGTTTCAAGGGATTTTTCTGTGTGACACCGCCTAATATCATGTTTTACAAAAACAACAGGATGAATTCAAGAACAATCAGATTAAAGGCGGTGTCACACAGAAAAATCCCTTAAAAAATCCCTTGAAAAATCCTTTCAAGGGAGAATTTTCTTGCTCCGTTAGAGGATTTTTAATGGGATAATTGATGAAAGACAGCAATTAAGAGGATAACTATAATGCGAATAACTAAAATCCAGATTTTTGGCCTCTGTGTGACACCGCCTTAAGTGTAAAGAAATTCTGAACAATTAAACAGACATTAAATGGCAACCATGTGATTTCATATGTGGGGTATTTTCCATTTTCTCAATCGGATATCTGTAGAAACAGGTTCTTCTTCTATGTCTTCCTCAATATCCATATTCATTCTTGGATCAATATTGACGCTCACTCTGTTTGTTCGCTTACCTTATTGTCCACTTACTTAATCATAGCAGTGATAGATGAAGTGCAAATTGACAATGATAACTCTCTCTCTCTCTCTCTCTCTATCTCTATCTCTCTCCCTCTCTCCCTCCCTCCCTACCTCCCTCTCTCTCTCTCTCTCTCTCTCTCTCTTTCTCTCTCTCTCTACAGCTCCTTCAGCGGAGTATGAGCTTCTTGGGTGAGCTGTATAACTGGGAGGTGGTCGCTTGGACGTTCTGTCTTAGTCCATTCCTCCTGCGCTTCATCACACTGGGCTCAGAAATCAACAAGAAGTTCAGAAACACTTCAGTCCTTCTAACAGAGCAGGTGAACTAACATGATGTTTATATTTCAAATTCTAATATTTAATTAATTACCTCATTCCTAAATGCTTTGTAACAGGGTCTAAAAAATTCCTGTTGGAAATGGGTTCAATAAATAATATTAACAAAAATTGGGATAAATTTTGGAGTCATTATTATACAACTTACGGTAGTCATAACACAATTTCTTTCCTCAGAAGCTAATACTTGTTCAAGCAGTGTGTATTTGTCACTTTGCTGGATATCTTCTGGCTGAGTAAACATAACAATGAAGTCTGATGAACATCTATAGCAATAGTCTTCTGAATGTGGTAGTCTTGGTTGGAAACCTAATAGGTTACATAGTAACCTGTAATGATGATAATTATAATAATAATGTATTTTAAAACATGTCTTTATGAACATTCACAAGGTTCATTCATTCTTCCATTATGAATACATGTATAAGCTGTAGGTCGTCAGAAGCTTCGTAACAAGCAGACTTGCTTTCCTGACAAGCCTACTGGCTGAAATATTTAGTCAATTACTAGATGTTTTGGATTAGAAATGATTATTGCTCATTAGCCCTAAATTGGTTGCTCTATAGTTCTTTAATGTCATTTGAATGAACTGTTCCTTTACAGTCTATTTGAATATGGAAACCTATCAGACACCTATGATATTGTTATTTTGAATCCCCAATGTTTAATGAGATCAACATAAGATACTATTTTATTCCATTTGATTTAAATTTCCTTGTCATGTATACGCAAATGGAAAACATTCACTCATACAGATCTTAATATCAATTCAATGATGGTCATTCAGTCACCATGGATTTGTTTTTCTCCCCTGTGACATACAACATGTAGATCAACCTGTACTTAAATATGGAGAGGAAACCTCAGAAGAAAGATAACCTCTTGCTTGCCAACAATGTACTTAATCTTGCCTCAAAGCTGCTCAAGGTAAGCAACTCAACTATCATATTTTCAGGACCGTATATCATCTCCTAAGAGCTAGAATGGTTTTAACTCAAAGACTCTTTACATACAGTCAATGCCCTTCTTGGTCGTAGCAGATGATATGTTGAAAGCAGGATCTGATATTATCAACTACATATTAAGCGTTACTGTATAAGCATTTTTTTTTGTTTTTTTTTTTGGGGGGGGGAGGGGGGGGGTTGTTTTTGCAAATTTCGTGAATCACTCATCAATTTAATAACATGCAAAACTATTTTCAGCAAGTAATGTTGCATGAATTAAACACTAAAATCAGCTCTGTTGCATGTCGCACACATTGTCTTCACATTACGAGCTGTGAGTGTCAAATCTATAACTCGCAAATTTGTCCTTGAACATTTGATCTGCAAAAATATCTTTTTGCAAAAATATTGGTTTATACAGTATTGTATGTCTGTGAATTTTAATCTGTATTATATTCTTACCCCCTGTAGTGAAGATCCAGTTCCCTTTACAGTTGAAAAATATGGTTCATTGCTGAAATCATATCAAAAATAGATTTGTTTTTATGCTCTAAGCGCAGTATAAACGTAGAGGATTTGTGAATAGCGGTACTAAACCTGAAAATAATGTTGTGTCCGAGGGCTATAACTTCAGGAGCTAATCCTGAAAGTTTGATCTTATTACATTTCCAGGATGTGGATTCTACAAAGGTATTCTCTGAAAGAAAAGGCATCCAATTCATGATAGTTTGGTTTATATATATTTAGTTGTCAGTCATTTCAATGAGTGTGCCTTGGATTGGGTCACCGTCACAAACATGCAAATATTCCACCACAGCAGATTAGTTTCATTAGCTTTCTATATTATATGTTTTAGTCAGATTAAGTGGGTCTAGTGATTGTATAATTCTCACAGATACATTTTGAATTTTGACACAATATGTCATGTACATTTCCATTTTAGCCATATTTTGAGACAATAGCTGTAAATTTTCAGTGTTACAGTTTATATAGTATTAATCATTGTAATCAGCTCATTTACCATAAAATGATGCAATATTTCATCATCAAAATAATTTTGGCATTAACATCAGCCTTTCAATTAGATATATGATTCATTTTGCAATAAAATTCATCAATGTCTTCATCAAAACTAACACTGTTAACTCTTAGTCTTTAATATTGTTAGCGACATTATCATCTTCTCGTCACCACCACAATTACTGATATTATTGTCAATTTTTCAAGTTATAAAGCACAACCACTATACAAATGTATCTAGTGGTTTTAGCATAATCATCATCATTAGGTATCCTTATCAACACCTCCATAATAAGACTATCATGTAGTCGTCATTGGTACTGTAAGAGTTGTGATTGATCAAATTGATAGCAAACTTGAGGTTCAACTTAATTCTTTAATCAATCGCAATTCCTGACATGAGGAATTAGCAACTGCAAGATTATGGTTGATTGAAAGAATTCAGATTGATTTCAGCTCAGTGTCTACTCTTACACTGGGCCCAGGATAATATAAATTATTTAAGAATTATCACTGATATCGTCGTCGTCGTCATCGTCGTCATCGTCATCGTCATCATCATCATCTTCACCATCATCACCACCATCAATATCATCAATATCACCATCTTCTTCATCATCGTCATGACCATCACCCTCTTGACCACTTTAACCACCCTTATTAACATTATAATCCTTATCATAGTTGAGATCATGATGATCATTGTCATCACTGTTGCTATGACAGTCATTGCCTCCACCAGCTTCAATTTCCACAATTATATCTCCATTATCATCATTAGCATTGGGCGTTTACTCTTGCCTATGGGTCAAAAGTTGTTAATATATGTTGTGTATTATTGCCACATGTACCATTACCAAATATCTGTTTTTTATATTTATGAAAAAAAGATGTTCACGATTGTGCATCATCATTGTCTTTTGCAAAGTTTTCCTGCAGTAGTTGTCCATACATGGATCTGGTACATGCAGCTTGGTCATATACCTTGTACTTGTACTTATACTTTTAGTCATTAAATTCTCATCTTTTCTTGTCTTTAGTGAAAATAGGATCTCGTTATCGTGAACAAAACATCATCATCATTTATTAAAGTTGCTCATGTGTGGGCAAATAGAGGGCAGCACACGAACGTATGCATGGGAGCGTAATACCTGCTGGCTCAGTGTTATGTAGTGATTGCCAAGTTCCCTACTTCACGAACAACTATATACCCACACATGAACATCTTTAAAGTCAGCATTTTCCCTCTTGCAAGGGGTTACTGACTTTCAATTCATGATGACACTCCCTCCCTCCCTCCACTTCGTCTTGTATCAAGTATCCTCCTCAATTAGACCAACCACCAACCTTACTGCTTTCTTTCTCCATAACTTTCCATGAAATCTTCCTTTCCCTCTTATGCCTTAACTTCCAGATCCCACTCTCTTTTCACTGGTTCATCATCTTCCCTGCTCAACACATGACCCATCCATCTCTATCCACTTCTCGTCATAACAGTTTCTTACAGACCCAACCTTTCAATGAGCTCATTTATGTTCTTTCTATCTATCTATCGATAGTTTTACATCACACATCTTTTGTATCATGATTCTTTCTGTTCTCCTCAAGATACCTTCTACTGTCTTCACATTCCAAATTTCAAATATAACATAAATAGTAGGATTAGAGATAGGGGTTTGTGATACATGTAAAGGTACATTTAGTCAGCCTTATATCATTAATGTTTATTTAATTTTTGTTAGCTGAGCTGAGTTAGAATTGCAATCAAATATACGAGCCATATATCAAACCTGCCAACTGTTCCAATTAATCAGAATATTCAGATTTTTCAAAATTCTGAATGACCAATTTTTTTTTTTTTTTAAATTAAAGCCAAATTTAGCTTGTTTTACCATGTGCCACGATTTGAGAGTTACTCTGCCGCTGTATACATGGCCATGGTAAGGCTGTGCGATTGCCTGTTCAATACACAGGTTCATGTATGCGCCCTCGGGTACGTATTTCTTATTTTCAAATGAATGTTGAATGTTGGCAGGTATGATATCTGCACCATACGTGACTCATGACAGCATGGGTATAGTGGTTTTCATCTCACAGCTGTTCATTTTCTGTTGTTTGTTCCCATTCCATCCCACTATCGTCCCTCACCTGATCCAACCCGACCTGGCTTGCCTTGCCTGACCTGGCACCCACCAATCCACCATCAGGAGGTAGAGACACCCTTCAAGCTGTCTGGTCTATCCATGAACCCGGTCCTCTATAACATCACTCGGGTCCTGGTCCTGTCTGCATTCTCAGGAGTCCTTACAGAACTTTTGGGATTCAAATTGAAGGTAAGGTCATAGTAAATAAAGTTACAGGGTTGTTTTATTTCCTCCATGCATGCGAGCCATTGCATTGCAAATGGCTCATAGATCTTCTTGGCTTCAAAGGGAAATTAGCCTCGGTGCATGTGCTTTTTGTTGTTGCTGTGGTTAGATTATGGATAGCGGTTTCTTCTGTTTTATCCATACGTATCAGTAATCGAACTGCAAATCACATCAATTCACATGATGCTATGCAATAGTTAACCCACCTATTTGTGGGTGATTTTAAGCGTGTATTAATATTAATAATATAGTACAGTTATGAACATTGTTAGATGAATTTTCAATTCTTTGAACAGTGTATTGTTCTTCTCATTGTGACTCTTCCTAATTTTATCCCCAATTTTTCTTGTTGCTGTAGTTATGGAAAATCAAGGCCTGATCTCAAGCAGATGGGCCATTTCACTATGATCGTGCAGTTTGATGGAGAGAGTGCTGTAAAAGAAGATGAGCATCCATCATCAATACTTCTACTGGGGATCTCCATGATGCTTGCCATGGCAAGGCCCCTATCAGCCAAAGAGAGCTTCTATCTGTGCATCATGTTGAAAATTAGATTCACAAAGGTGCATCGCCAAAAGATGTGAGAGGCCAGAATATTTGTGCTTGGGTATGGTCGTGCTTATATGTGTTGTCCATTTGCTGATGCTTAAAAGGGAATTGAATATGCAGATGTAAATGTAAAACTGTAGACCTTCATCATGAAGTTTTGGTTGAGCCTTGATGTGTAAGGAGCTAATCCTTCTGAGAACTGCTAGCAAACTGACCCAGCCTAGGTCTTGAACCAACAACACCCTGTGCCATAATGACTGAAATGTTTTATCCTTCATAGTACTGCTAACTGTTATCTTTGTACAACGCCAGACAATCAGAGCGTTTATATCCTAACAGCCCTCGATGTACCTTACAAGTAATTTCAAAGTATTTAAATCAATTACAAGACTGAAATCACCATTCCTGAATTCTTTGAATATAGTGACCAATTATCTGATGTTGAAGGTTATATCATTATCATTGGTATACCTGAGAATGATTTTTCCCCTTTACTTTCTGCAATTGTGCAGTTGAGATTCATGTACTTAATATTAGCGTTTCTCCATGAGCTGATCCTAATCCTTAATAAAGGATTTTGCTTTACTGAATCTACACCCAGTTATTTCTTATGAAAGAGTGTTTATTTATTTTTTTAAATTTTAAATGAAGGAGTCAATTAATTACATTCCAAAAGCAATGAAATGCGATTGCTGTGTTAGTTCACAGTTGCAATGGTTTTTGTTTTGCTGGTAGTGTTTATGCTCTTTATTCTTTCATGTGGTGCTTGTGTGAGAAAGAAATATTTCAGCCAATGATTAATATTTTGTTGTTTTGTTGTCATCATTGAGGTGGTACTTGTTACAATATTGCCAGGGTATTTTCTTAATGGAATACTTTTTAATTTTTTTTTTTTATCTTAACTGATTTTATGTCACAAACTATAAAAGTCTCTAAATGAAAACATTTTCTGTAATGTTTTGTTGTAAATACTGTCTGTGTATTCTTTCAAAAGGAATGAGAACATTATTTGATCCAAGGTTTACACTGAATTATGATGACATTGGCGGTTATTATGTGCAAGATCATGTTTTTATTATTCCAAATCATACTGTGAACGTATGTGGGTTACGTTTTGTTTCTTTGTTATCTATGCATTTGTAATCTTTTTTACATTAGGAATAAGAAACTAATGTTAGCTTTTCAAGCTCTTTCTAAAGTATGTAGAGTTATGATAAAAATTTGTTCTTGTACAAATAATTTACAAATTTCCATAAATGATTGATTTATTTACTACATTAGAATTGTCTTCATTTGAATGAAGTTAACCGTTATCTTATGTTTTGTTTTTAGTTTCTTTTAACGCTTTGATGTGATGTCCATGTTGTCAAATGTGCAGTATTATTCAAGAAGTACTATGATTTGTTTTAACCATTTTGATATTTCAAAGGAGCAAAGTACCGGTAGATATTTTGACTGTCAACAAAATGTTTTAACACTTAATTTATTTTTTAGAATTATTTTATACCACAAGAATGTCCAGTTACTGTTGTTTACATTGCATCATGTACTACTTCACTTTTAATGTCCATGTAGCACACAATTTATTAATGGTTAGCAGCACTGTGATGCAAGTTTGAACGTAATCAGTTACAAATTACAAAAATGGAAATATACTTGTAGAAATTAAAATGTACTTTTGAAGTACTTAAAGAGTGCTTGGTGATTTGCACTATAGCGCTGATAAAGTCATTATGGGTCATTTTCCCATTGATATTAGAAAAAATTGGGATAAAAATAATCATATCTGTTTCTTTATAACATTTTACTGCTAACATGTTGGCATCTAATTTATTTTTAAGTTTATTAACCCTTTCAGGAATAAGAAAGTTTTCTTGATGCATAGTGCAATTTTCTTTTCTAACATTTTCCCCATGTCTGACTTTGTGTTAATTGGGTAAGCTCAAAGTGATGTACAGTACATCTTGCCATGGGTCCTACAGTTCAGATTAATATAACTTTATAATTGCGCTTACCTTAACCCCACAGTCGCTCTAAAAATCCATGTTTGTCAATGCTAATGTGACATTGAAATCCTTTTTATGATATGAAAGCTTTAATCAGTTGATGTGAAGTAGCTTGTTAACTTGTTATTTTCTAGAACTCTCAGTAGCAACATTCCTGCTTTCAAGAGTGATTTCATTCCATGTTTATTTCTTTAAAAAAATATACAATGATGTATATACACATACTTAACTGTTGATATATGTATATAGCGAATAGTAAATGGGTGCAATATTGTTCTCACTTTTCAGAATTCCTGATGTATGACGTTCGTTTGTTTGTACTGCTTTTTATCACTGTAATATTGGGAAATGTGTGATTTGATGACCATGAATTTGTAAAGTCTGTATTAATGAGTGTAACAACAAAACAGTGTGGAGAATCCACAAAAGCAAATAAAATTGTTCCTGTATTTGTGAATTTTTTCCTGATTCATACATTCCTCCACATTGACTAAACACTTTTTTTAATTTTTTTTTTTTACTAGTAGTAGTAGTAGTAGTAGCAGTAGTAGACTTTATTGGATAACTTGTTCAGCACAGGGCTAATCTGCCACAGGGCTAAAAATATATTTTATGTTGCAGAATTTATGTCAACATATTTTCAAAAAGACATTGTCCTATGAAAACTGTTCTTTAATGTTAAAAAAGAGAAGCCATTGTTATAAGTTTATTTTGGATCTCAAGATAAATTCTACCAATTGCATTATTCTCACCGCTATGTTGGCTCCTATTTTCCCTCACATGCCCCATTTGATAGTACTAAGTGTAATAAATTGTGTATGATTTGCCCCTTATCAATGTGAAAAATGATATATTTGATATAATATATACGGTAAGCATTTAATACATCCACTGTATACAGGTAGACTATTAGCAGTCATCATATCTTTACAGAAGTGTAATATTCTGGTCCACATTTTACGTCGCTATTGTGCATTCACAATGTGTAAGAAAATTGACAATCAGACACCCTTCACTATAGAAGACATTGGTATTATCATCATTATTATTTAATAATTGTCAAGAGATGTGAATGCCAAAGTAACAGCAGCTCATAAATAAAATGTGATGATTGTGATGTTGTGAGCTTTGATGAATAAACTTGCTTAACTGCACATGCACATACAAGAAAAATGTCTCAAAATACAATTATAGTTTTTGATAGTCTGTTTATTCTATTTAAATGTTCTTATTTTTTTCTTAATGTTGTTCTACTTACAATTCTCTGTTTATTGCAGTACTTGTACTTTTAGGTACTAGAAAACAGGGTAAATATGAAATTGAAATCGAAAGAAATTGAAAAGGAATCAAATTCAATAAACGTAACAATTAAATAGGGTATGCTTCACTACTGGGGAAAAATTGATGCTTTATCTTCCAATTCACTCTGTTTTTTAGTATCTTACAGCTTAAAGCATTCAGTTGGGCAGATATCATTTACTCTTGATGATAAACAGTTTGGATTTAATCTTGAAATTTTAGTTTCCACAATCATCTGAACTTGAATTACCTTTCATATACTCTTATATGACAAAAGACTAGCAATTTATTTTGCATATCATTGGTACAGATAATATTTGACTCATTCTGCAAATTGGTTTACCAATGTACTCTTTCGTATTTTCATTTTCTTCAATTAACTTTGTTCCAATATCTACAAGTACTGGAATGGAAATTAACAATTTGTTTTGGCAATCTATCACAAAAATATGCTAACAACTTTTTTGTTGAAGGGGAGGAAAGAGAAATCCCATAACCCTGAATGCAAGAAAGTGTACATCACCTTGCAAGGTTACTGTGTACATTGTACATGTAAAAGCACAAACATCATACAAGGTCTTTCTGATAGAAAACCTCTTAGACATATTAGATGCGCAATGTCATCTATTGTCACCTCCTACCTCGACCTCCTCTACCACCACCCCTACCACCTCCACCACCCCTACCGCCACCACCACCACGCCCAAACCCACCCCTACCACCACCGCCCCTACCGCCACCGCCTCTACCTCTACCACCACCCCTACCACCACCTCTACCCCCACCTCGACCCCCTTCTCGCTGGGCCCTGGGTCTACTCTGCTCTCGTTTGCGCCCCTTGATCTTCCTGTCCTTCAGGATCTCCTCCTTTCTCCGTAGTTCACCCCCATGCTGACCCTTTGACCCCTGACCTCTCTCCGTGCCAGAGTCTTCATGACGACCCCTCCTTTTCGTTCCCGAGTGCTTGCCCCCTCGCCCGTTACCATAACGAACTCTGTTTCCTGTGATGCTTCCTGTAGGAAAATTTTAGAATATATTTTATGCATTAATTAATCAATTAACAGAATTGATATCAATTGATAAGTACAAATGCTTGGGTAAGGACAACTTGTTCTCTCTCCCTATGTAATTTTGCAAGTGAACTCGAAACATAAAGTTTAGGTTCCAGGTTTCTTGCAATAAATATTATTTAATGGCTCTTCTTTTGTGGGACACATGGGAATATAAAACACGCTTTAAAAAATACTTTCACTCCTCGTGCCGACTAATCAGCTCATTTGACATACCCCTGTATCCCACTAAATGCAATTCAAGGACCACATGCATAGAATTTGATAACATCCATGAACTGGTATCAAAGTGAGACTTCTACAATCCCTCACCTTTGTTAAGACCTGACCTGTCACCATCTTCGTTATCACTGTCAGATTGGTGGTGATCCCGTGAATCGGCCTTACTCTTGTTTAACCACTCCTTGTATCTGATGACATCACAATAGGGTCAAGGGTCAATAAAGAGAGTTGTTTCAAACAGGAAGTGATAATCAGGACATTGTAAGCAGGGTACCAAAAGACTGATTGCCTATGGTCCACACCTTGAAGAAACTAATTACCACTGTGTCCTCAGACCATAAAACAAGTCATGAAGCTCACACTTTCACCAAGACCTCAACAAAAACGTGACTAGTTGTTAATTTTGCCTGGACTGCAAAAGTTACTTTCAAAGTAATAGGTTCTAATGAAGAAGGATTTTTCAAAGACGTATAAAGAGTTACCATGGATTTATGTATTGTGATATATGTTGTTAAAATGATTAATGAATAAAACTAATGAATGAATTTGAGGGAGGGTTAATCAAAGCTTTTTTCACCATATATCAGCTTGCGTTACAATGTGCTGAACATTTTGATCTGGTCTGAGCATACATTGGTATGTTGATACTACTGGGCCCCGTCTTATAAAGAGTTGATATCAATCGCAACTATGTACATAAGATATAGGAGACTGCAAACTTAGTTTTGATTGGAGGACTTACAATTGATTTGGATCAATCTTAACTCTCGCAAGCCCTTCAATCAATCGCAAGTTTGCGGTCTCCTATCTCTTACGCACAGAGTTGCGATTGATATCATATTTTTGCAATACAGGGCCCTGGTGTGCAATATTAGCAAACTTGCTAACCATAGCTGGTCAAATATTCTACCAGTTATAAAGTATCTTCACCCTTCCACTACCATCTGAGAAGAAAAATACATTTTTTAAAGCAACTTTTATCCTTTAAATATCATAAGTCAATGCTAGATGTTGTCAAGGATACATGTTTTTCTTGTAGGATGCTGAGATGTACTTCCCACTCTCAGTCATAATCTTCTTCTGCTTGCCATCTTTCCCTCCGTCTCCTACAAACTTCTTCTTCTTCCTCTCCCTGATTATAGAAAAGGAGACAAGTATTAACAAAGGAAGAAGGGGATACAGAGATAGGGAAGGTGAGGTTCAAAAGATAAAGAGGGAGATGGAGAGAGTTAACAGAATCAGGTTATTTTAAATATATGGGGGAAAGATATGGATAACAACAACAAATAATTCCTTTTGCACTATTATAAAACAAACACAGAATACACATGAGAGAAATAAAAGACACTATAATTTTTAGATTACCAGTTGAACTATTAGTATTATAATAACATCACAGAGCATTATTGTGATCATTGTGTGTTCAGATGATTCCATAAATGTCTAGAATTGGAGGGAAATTCGCCTGCTCCATTTTCGTTGAGTGCCACAGATGCGCAATCCATAAAGATTCATTTAATATCAACTACAATTAGAGTGCTTTTCTAATATTTCATGATGCATATAACTCTATTCTAGCACCCTCTACCAGTATGCCATCACATCTTTGTCTATCAGTTGGCTCCTTTAGTTGAACTAAACATTGAATCAAACTATTATTATCATTATTATTATTATTTATTCAGCAATATTCAGCAAAATATAAAAATGAAACAGTATAATCAAGGTGATTACAAGGTGATTACAGAATGATAAAAATATACAAATACAAATTTTTGTGGCAATATTCTGAGTGCAAAAGATGGCGACCAGGAAGAGGAGAGCAAACTTAATCACTGTAACCGTAACGGTCTCTCCGCCCAACCAAAATAGACAAGAATAAATAAAATCCTCATCATCTTACTCACCATTTGACTCTCTGCTGTTGTTTTCTCATCTCCCTCGACTCGTCTTGTGTGAAGTCTAGCACCGCTCCCGCTGCTTGCTTCTCAAAGTTATTCTCTATGCTCAACCTGTATCATGTCATCACAAAGAGGAAAATAAGAGACAAACAAAATATGAAAGATAAAGTTGAGTTCTGGTCATGCAACTGCATTGGTGAAAGAAACGTTGTGGAATGGATCAGAAAATGTTGATCATCTAGCATATAAGTATTGGTGTATGCTGCAAGGTTCTGGAATCATCAAAATGATACAAAATTTGGCCCAACTTGGTGAAGTTACAAACACTGTACACAGAAAGATGTATATGGGACTACACGAACATATGGCATAAAAATCTTTCCTGATGTTACATGCCATATTTAGAATATAAAGGCATTTGAAGAGCCATGCTTTTCAGGGAGCATTTTTTACCTGGTGTTCTTCCACACGCATGATACAATGATAACGCTCACAATTTGTTTTTCACCTTTTCCCAGAACTCAACCTTCTCTTTAAGTTCAAGTATGATTGTTTGTTTTCTAGTCACATCAGGAGCATTTTTAAGATCTGATTAATTTTCTGATAGTATTTTGATTCTTCCAATATGAGGAAGGGGTGGTTCTATTCCCTTTCCCAACAAAGTTTCAATCCAAATTTAAATTTATTGAACAGCGGCTGCACCAATTGGAGGAAGGGGATGAGATGAAGAAATCATAAGATGGCTTTTAATATGAAATAGGCTTTTGGTTTCTGTGACTTGCTATCTGTACGGTTGAACACTTACGTTTGTTTCATCTATTTATCTGGTGAAGTATATGAGAAGCAGACATTGTCACTACAGAACACAATTTATGTAAAAGGGTGTTTGTTTATGTAATTCAATATCTGTTTTTTTTTTATTTATTTTTTATTTGTTTGAATACCTACCCTTGTTCTTGCTGTTTGTCTGGTGCTG